AATCTCCCGCCGGTACCGCCCCCCCCCAGCCCCCCCACTGCGTACAGACGCTCGCAGGGAAGGAAATCCGGAAGATGGATGCCGGTATTGGCCGGAGGACATCGGGGGATTGCAGGACAAGGGAAGGGTGGGGGATCGCAGGACAAACACTACAGTGTAATCCCGAGTGTGGCTCGGGGTTACCACTTTTGGTACTGTAAATTAACCCCAAGCCACACTCAGGATTAACACTAGGAAGGCTAAAGCAGAACTAGAATACCCTCCTATCCTTTACAGCCAAGGAAGCTGCCACCTGTTTGATCTGCAGTTGTCATCATGATGCACATGTGATCAGCTATGACACCAGCCATTTCATGGCTTGTCAGTTTGAGTGAGAGCCAACATAAGCACAAGTAACTAACAGTCTGTGCCAGAATGAAAACAAGTGTACATTACAAAAAAAAAAAAAAAAAAAAAAAAAAAAAAAAAAAAAAGACTGCGAGCATTCAGGTAGGTTTTGTTTATTGCAGAAGAGACTATGCTTATCTCTTCTACAATAAAGAGCATGCTGCTCCATTTTTGATAGCGAGACTTTAGTTCCATTTTAACTGTTTTGGTTAACAGTTAAATTGGTAGGTTTAGTTCTGCTTTAATAAAATGTCAAACATTGGTTGTTGTGATCACTCTCGATTTCAAACTAAGTTAAAGGATTTGTGTGCAGCTTCCATTCAAGTATAGACTTTAAAGGATAAGTTCACCTTTAGAACATGTTCTATGTATTTAGGGTGGAACATGTACCAAGTTCTAGCTCTTGCCTCCTCTCCACCCGATAACCCCATCCTGTGACAGCAGGCGGGGGATCCTGTCCCCACACCGGCTGTCAGAATTTAAAAACAGCACAGTTGTGCGGGGCTTTGCCCATATGGGCAGGTCATTTATTCACAGAGTTCTCTGAATTAATGAACTACAAGTACCAACAGCTGTCATGCCCAACAGTTCTCAATGAACTACGAGGGAGCTTGTGAGCACTCTAGTAGTTCATTGATTCTTCCTGCAATTCAGTAATTGTCTGCTCGTATGAGGTATGGGTAGGTAGATGGGTATCTAAGTATCTGCAGGAGCCTTGCATTGCACCCATGATCAGCGTGGGTACAATGCCTTTCAGGCTGCAGAGTTAAAAAAAAAAAAAAAAAAAAATGCATTTTTATTTCTAAAAACTGAATTCTGTTGTAAAAATTAAACACTAAATGTACTTGCAAAGAAGACAGTAAACATCACTCCTGCCAACAAACACTGCCAGGTGAAGGCCTCCTGCACACTGGGTGTTAAAAACGACACTTTCTGGAGCATTTGACATTTTTTTTCTGTCCCTAAATGCCCCTCAATATTAGCCTATGTGTCCATGCACAAAGACGTTTAGAGGATTATAGAGGCACGGTCATTTAAAAATAGAAAGAAACCCCACTGCCAGCATGTTCAAGAGCAGCAGCATTTTGGCAGGAAAAACCGCATGACATACCTAAACGTGCGTTAACGCTAAGCATGTTTAGCTTTACAGTATCAATTCATTTAATCAGCCAGGTTAAATTATTATTCTGACCAATGAAATGAATGTCTACATGCTTGATGCACTTAAACACATTTACAAAAATGCAGCTTTAGCCACATTTTTAACACTACTTTACTCCTGCCAAGAGAAAGGTGTTCAGGAGAGCTGAGCAAATACCCATTGTGCATGGACCCAAGTCTCTTCCTCAACCAACACTTCTGTGAGTGTTCTCTGTTCTCCACTGCGCTCAGTGGTTCCTCCCACCAAATCCTAAGTCACTACCGATTCCTGCAGTGACTTATGGGTTGGTAGTATAAACCATTGCGTGCAGCATTGGACTAAGAGTTCAACACTCCTGAAAGAGTCAATTTCTCTTCATCACAGCGATGTTCAGCAGTGCAGGCAGCAGCAGATGTTTTTCCTCTTTACAGGGACATATGATATTGTCTTTTAATTTTTGCTTTAAAGAATAAGTGACAAAATATCTCACATATAAAGGTACTGCCTTCAACCAGAATCCCACAGAATAGATATAAATTTTGAGAATATTTTTTTTTTTTGCTCTGAATTTTGCTTAAAATTCTTGCCATTTACATTTTATAACAGACATAAAGCATTAATCAAAGCAGAAAATTACCAGTTGAATAATATCTATTCAAACAGAAATGTCCATTTATTACCATATCAGACAGAAGGGCTTTGAAATTCTGGATGGCTTCTTCCCGCTTGTGCTGCTCCCGCTCTCTATCAATCTCCTTAGTCTGTTCAGATCTGGCTTTCTGCACCTCCCGTTCTCGTTCCCGTAAACTGGCTTCAATACGAGCCTGTCTCTCCAGCTCCTTTTCTTTCTCAGTATCCAAATTCTGGAGAGGGAGACAGGAGAATTATTTCCATTACGTTCAACTAACAAAAACCACTTATGAAATTTGATACATTAATAAGGTTCCTTAAAATGCTGAATAGGCAAATCTTGCAGATGGGTGCAAGAATTCTAAAAAAATAGACACAAATCACAGAAAGGAGCACACTTGCCTCATAATTAAAAAACTAATTTAACTGAACATAGGAATACAGTCACGGATATTATGACTTTAAAGGACCTTCCTTATGCACTCATGACCAAACATGTACCTGGCAATTGACTGCTAAAGGCACTAAGCATGCTCAGAACCAGTGTTCCCAGTGCCTTCCTGATAAGCAGAAGATTACAAGAAGCCAGTATTTACATTTAATACATAACATGAATCAAGGGTGTATGTCCAGGGTTTCCAACCTTTTAACCTTCCTGGGCCACATAGGAAGAAGTGGAATGGTCTTGGGCCACACATAAAATACACTAACAATAAGCCCTGGTTCACACTTGTGCGGCTCTGCGTATTTAGAGCGGGCACAGAAGCTCATATGAATGGGCTGCCGTGCCCGTTAAAGAAGGCAGGGAAAAATTCCTTGCTCCATTTTTTAAATTGCAGCCTGCACGAAAATGGCAAATGCGATCTCCAGGGCATGCGGGTGCACCCACACGCATCTCCTGTGTTTTTCTGTGTGGGCGGTTGCGGCGCAGGAACAGGTGCAGAACTGCAGCGTAAACTAATCACACAAATGAGAACCAAGCCTACAGGCAAACGGGTGCCTGATCTGCAGCCCAGCACTTTCACAGCATTTTCCAAAACAGAGGATTGGCAACTGTGTTTATGCTCATTAAAATGTTTTTATTCAAGCATTCCACAGAATAACACAGCCTCAGATAGAAAGACGTTACAGTAGATGCAACATTTCAGGACCTAAGGCTGTTTTTCTGTGGAATGCTTGAAGAAAATTTTAATGACCACATACATACACAATTGCTGATCCTTTGTTTTGGAAATTAAATCTAGGGCAGTACCCACGCATGCAACATTTTCTTCCATGGCAGTAGCGGGAGTCCCTGCATCTGCTGCTACTAGTGCTACCACATATACAGCAGCCCGACATTCCCTCAAGACGTCCCTCTGCTATGCTTCTACAGCATCCCCGGTGTCCCTCCAGATGTGCTCGGACCACATACTCAACTCTCTTGGGCTGCAAGCTGCTCAAGAGCTGGACTTCCCCTGGATTATGTATAAAGTTTGTCAGCAGTTTAGGTTTACAGTAAAAAACTGGTCCTTTTACATATTTTCTGCTAAAATGCTGGGACATTAAAGATTTTACTTACATTAAAAGAATGCACTTAGGCTTAATGCACACAGCCATAATAAAATTACTGACCTACAGCAGCCAGAAAGATCGTCCATGAAAAACGCAAATCTGGTCCATAAAGTGCAAGTGTTTACACGCTTACAAGGAAGTACCCATGTGTATGCATTTATACAATTAAAATTCTATTTTTTGCATGCCATGCTTTAAATTATGTGTTACACATTTACACGCATATTCAATTTTGTTTAACCACATGCCCTCCTGAAGATTTACCCCCCTTCCTGACCAGGCTATTTTTTGCGTTACAGCGCTGTCTTACTTTAACTGACAATTGAGCGATCATGCAACGCTGCACCCAAATGAAATTTACGTCCTTTTCCCCCCATAAATAGAGCTTTTTTTCTGTGGTATTTGATCGCCTGTGCGGGTTTTATTTTTTGAGCTATTAAAAAAAAAAAAAAAAACAAGAAGACCAACAATTTGGAGAAAAAAAACACAATATTTTTGACTTTGTGATAATAAAAATGTCCAGTAAAAAAAATGTCAAATTTCGTCCAAAATGTATTCTGCTACGTCTTTGCTAAACAAAATCCCAATACGCGTAAATTAATTGATTTATGTGAAATTTATAGCGTTTACAAAATGGTGGTATATATTTATATACTGCTTTTTGGGTTTTTTTTCTTTTTTCAATTTTTTACTTTTACTAGTAATAGTGGCGATCATCGACTTATAACAGGACTGCGGCGAGCATTCTGACACTGGGGGGAACTGACTTGGTGTCACTGACATCCCCAGTGACACCAATACAGTGATCAGCGCTAATAAAAATCACTGACACTGTACTAATGGCACCAGGCAGGAAGGGGTTAACTGCTTCCCATCCACCCTATAACAGAAACTGCTACAGGGCGACACGGGTGCGCAAAATCACGTGTATACATACGTGATTTCGCATTTCCGAGTAGGGGGTGCGCGTGCGCCCTACCCGTGCCACCATTCATGGCTGTCAATCACCAGGTCCCGGCCGATGATTACTTGTCAGCACCCGGTGATTGCCTAGCATCTCTGATGGTAGGGAGAACTGTTTGCAAACAATACAGTTCTCTCACCTGTCAGCTCCTGCACACTGCTACGCATGGCTTTACATAGCACAGCCATGCAAAGCAGTGTGCTTACAGTGAAGCACACACACACAGCCCCACAGTAAAGCACCCACAGCACACAGTTAACCCTTTGATCGCCCCACATCTTAAGGCTGTGTGCATGAACCCTTAAGAGTTGTCAGAACATAGCCGTAGTAACATACTTTTACCAGTTTTTCGATGTACTGCTTGAAAAGATCTTCCCGGGCAGAGGAGCTATCTATAGCCTTGTATCTGGAATCCCCCTCAATTTTTTCTTTTACTTTGCTCCAGCGAGATTGTGCATCCAAATGGTGATTTGCTAACAGTTCAAAGAAGTCATTTTTCACCTGAAATAAACACAAGGCCATACATCTCAGAAACTCATAAACAAGACTGAATATTAGTTTATCTTTTTCTAAAAAAAGAAATCCACTATATCACAAATTATCCTTTTATCTACTTTCTGGGCAACAGGAAAAAGAAAAGTCGCCATTCTGGATCTGAAAATCTTGTAATAATTCACATCCTAACTGGCTTATCAGTAGATAACAAAACAGTATAAACAGAGCAGCACAGGGAAGTTTCTTTCTTTGTAAAGGCCATCAATTAAATTTTTTAAAGAAGTATAGCCATATATATTACAGGCATACACACCTATAGGCAACAATTATTTACTTATTGTTTTGGGGATTATTGTAAGTGGTCAGTTTAGAAGCAAACAGCATTTAGCAGCATTCTAAAAATGTACAATAACCATTTCCAAACAAGGTCCAAAGGTCATGTGTTTCCCTGAATGTGATGCTTACAGCTTGGAACACTTGCTAATTTTTGTACATCTGACTGCTTGTTCATGTAGAAAAAAGTATTTTTTTTAATGTGGCTGAAGCCACCTGGAACTGCGTGCAATCAGTCTATGGAAGCTAAAGCAGACACGATAGCTGTACAGAGCCATACATACTAAATTGACAGGAGTGCCTTATTCATGCTGTATGGGTCTCAATGCCAGTGTGAATAAGGAAATCAAAATAATAAAGACTCAGGCAGGTATACCACATCCTTTGGAGTACAATGCAAAAATTTCAAAATTTGTCCAGCCTTATGGCTTTTTTTTTCTGCCTGTAAAAGCTTTATGTTTTCCTATATGTTAGTGCACACATAGACATTTACAGGCGTATTTGAAAAATAGTTCTTCTAGGCAAAAAAAAAAAAAAAAAAAAAAAGGGAGAGGAGCTACAGAGCAGGGAAAAAAAAAACCACTCAACGTACCTAAATGCGTGTAAACGCTCCTAAATAGTAGGCGAGTTTGAGTCTTTATGCATTCCAATGGCCAGAATAAATCAATATTCTGGCAAATTAAATCTCTTAACACTCAAGCGCACCTAAACATGTGGACAACATGTGGACAACGTGCGGCTTTAGGCACATTTTTTAAGCAGCTTTTCTCTTGGCATTCAGAAGAGCAAACACCAGTGCATGAGGCCTTAAGTGCATCTTTTGGCTAAACCGCTCTCTTTCATTTTTTTTTTCCTTAAGTTTTTGAGTGGGGAAGAGGTAGACCCACTGTGAAGTTTTTTTTGTTGTCCGTGTCCCCAATGGGGAGATTTTCCCCTCCATCTGTACTGGTTATAGCTGCGTGAAAAAAAAAAAAAAAAGTGAGCAGAAATCCAAAATTTCAGTTGTCCCCAGAACAAGAGGCAAGAGGAAATCTTTCTAGTCTAAGAGAGGAATTGCCCTCACTTCAAGAGATCTTCTCTTACTTACTGTTGCGTCTCCGGTGCGGGAATTGAAGGGAAATGTCCCCAATTGAACAAAGAATAAAAATTAAAAAAAATAAATAAATAAACTGGCAGGGGTTTAAACCCTTACCTATTGTATCCACAAAGAAAGGTTCAGCCATATATACAATTCAAGAATGTGTGTGCTATGAGCTAAACACCAATATTTCCCCCAGTTTATACAAACAGCTGCATGATAGACACTTGGGACACCATGAAGGAAAAAAAAAAAATGATAGACTGTCTATAAGTGCCCAAAGTAAATATATGAACTGTATGTTTTATTGCATAATATAAAGCTGTGCTGATGTCATTAACAGGTACCTCATCTTTTTAGAAATATAAACTACATAGGAATTGCAGCATTTTCTTTCTACAGAATGTTGGTGCTGGTCTATTTCTGGTCTATCGGTGATCAGTGCTTTCCACTGCTGCTTTCTAATTCAAGTGACATTTAAAGCTATTCATTTTTCATGCATGACCTTTATCTGAGAGAAGCAGTCATTTATACCAAAAACAGATGTTTAAAAAAACATCAGGAAAAGAAAAAAAAAAAAAAAAAAAAAAAAAAAAAAAAAAAAAAAGCTACAAGCTACAGCCACTACTTTCCTAAAAAAAGGAAATTATAGGAAAGGATATATCAGGGAAATACAGTGGATATAAAAAGTCTACACACCCCTGTTAAAATGTCAGATGTCTGATTTAAAAAAAATGAGATAACAATAAATCATTTCAGAACTTTTTCCACCTTTAATATGACCTATATACTGTACAACTAAATTGAAAAACAAACTGAAATCTTTTAGGGTGGGGGAAGTAAACATAAAAAACTAAAATAATGTGCTTACATAAGTGTGCACACCCTCTTATAACTGGGGATGTAGCTGTGTTCAGAATTAAGCAATCACATTCAAAATCATGTTAAACAGAGTCAGAACACACCTGCCATCATTTAAATTGCCTCAAATAAAGTTCAGCTGTTCTAGGTCTTTCCTGACATTTACTTAGTCACATCCTACAGCAAAATCCATGGTCCGAGAGAGCTTCCTAAAGCATCAGAGGGATCTCATTGTTAAAAGGTATCAGTCAGGAGAAGGACAAAAAAGAATTTCCAAGGCATTAGATATACCATGGAACACAGTGAAGACAGTCATCCAGTGGAGAAAATATGGTGCAACCATGACATTACCAAGAACTGGATGTCCCTCCAAAATTGATGAATAGACGAGAAAACTGGTCTGGGAGGCTGCCAAGAGGTCTACAGCAACATTAGAGGAGCTGAAGGAATATCTGGCAAGTATTGGCTGTGTCATACATGTGACAACAATCACCCGTATTCCTCATATGTCTGGGCTATGGGGTAGAGCGGCAAGACCGAAGCCTTTTCTTAAGAAAAACATCCAAGCCCAGCTAAATTTTGCAAAAACACATCTGAAGTCTCCCAAAAGCAAGTGGGAAAATGTGTTATGGTATGATGAAATGATGAAACCAAGGTTGAACTTTTTGGGCCATAATTCCAAAAAGATACAACACTGCACATCACCAAAAGAACACCATACCCACAGTGTAGCATGGTGGTGGCAGCATCATGCTTTGAAGCTGTTTTTCTTCATATGGGACTGGGGCCTTAGTCAAGGTAGGGGGAATTATTAACAGTTCCAAATACCAGTTATTGGCACAAAACCTTCAGGCTTTTTCTAGAAAGCTGAACATGAAGAGGAACTTCATCTTTCAGCATGACAACAACCCAAAGCATACATCCAAATCAACAAAGGAATGGCTTCACCAGAAAAGGATTACAATTTTGTAAAGGTACAGCCAGAGTCCAGACCTGAATCCGATCGAAAATCTAAAGAGGGCTGTGCACAGGAGATGTCCTTGCAATCTAACAGATTTGGAGTGTTTTTGCAAGGAAAAGTGGGCAAATATTGCCAGGTCAAGATGTGCCATGCTGATAGACTCATACCCAAAAAGACTAAGTGCTGGAATCAAATCAAAAGGTGCTTCAACAAAGTATTAGTTTAAGGGTGTTCACACTTATGCAACCATGTTATTTTAGTTTGTTGTTCAACTGCCTTGTACAGCTTATAGGTTACATTAAAAGGTGGAAAAAGTTCTGAAATTATTTCTCATTTTTTTACATCACAGAAACCTGACATTTTAACAGGGGTGTGTAGACTTTTTATATCCACTGTATTGCTTGTTCATTGCAGATGCCAACAAACCAGTGGGGTCAGTATTGGAATAAACAACTCAACCACACGGATATTGTCCTTCTCTGTGTGTATTTTGGTGTAAAGAAACTTCCCAATATTACAAGTTGTTATGCTTTGCTTCCAATTCAAATACTAAGCTTCCCAGCGGATCCAGCAATCTCCTTCAGAGATCCTCTGTTCAGGTGTTACAGCCCAGGTCCTGGGCTACCATGTTGGTCCTCATCAGGCAACGTGAGCCAGCTGTCTCTTTCAGATGTAGGCAGCTGGCTCATGCCTGATGTGTATCCCTCTCGTGCAGCCTCCCTGGGGTATGTGATAGGAGTATCCTAAAAGGCTGCAGGCGACGGGACAGGCGACGGGGCTGGATTCAAGACAATCACAACAAAAAAAAGAAAAAAAAAAAAAAGGCTCTAAAGTTTCCATGATGGAGGATTAGAAAGTGCAGGAACCTAAAGTTTAAGGACATCACAAGAGTAATGCAGGGATGTCAAGTAAAAGAAATTAGTTGTAATATTACTATAAAACAGCAATTACCAAAGTGCTATAATATTTTTCTGTATGCAGGTGTGCTTTGAATATCCAAAGTGCATCCCCTTATTCAACTCAAATCAGTAGAACATTTTATTTTTTGTTTGAAAGTGACATGGTCCACAGTACAGGGAGGTCATTGGCACGATATAAGAGCTCTATTATACCCTAGCTGTAAAATGCAGCTAAGGGGCTGATCCCAAAACGTCGGTATACACAAAAAAAAAACTCTTGACTATAAAGAATGGATTCAGGTTAACCAGGCATGTGACCTGGGAGACATCTATCTATATGGAATATAGGATGTAGAACTATTACAGTGAAGCCGACCGGAGAAGGAAGGACAGGATGAGGGCTGGTGTAGGAATAGTGGTTTGAGGTTTAAAAAGCAACACTAGATTAACCACTTGCCCTCCAGAGGATTTACCCTCCTTGGCTGGCTACCATGCAGATTCTGAGTGCTCCCGGTTTAGTAAATCTCCCCCATAGTGTCCATTTCACCATCCATAAAATAATCTCCACTTGAATGAGATAAATACACTGCTCAAAATAATTAAAGGAACACTTTTTAATCAGCGTATAGAATCAAGTCAATTCAATTAAACTCCTGGAATACTGATCTGGTCAGTTAAGTAGAAAGGGGATTGTTAATCAGTTTCAGCTGCTTTGGTGTTAATTAAATTAATAACAGGTGCGCTAGATGGGCAGCAAAGAGGCAACCCCCCCAAAAACAGGAATGGTTTTACAGGTGGAGACCACTGACATTTTTTCCCTATTCATCTTTTCTGACTGTTTTTCACTAGTTTGGCTAGGGTCAGTGTCACTACTGGTAGCATGAGGTGATATCTGTCACCCTACAGAGGTTGCACAGGCAGTCCAACTCCCCCAGGATAGCACATCAATACGTGCCATTGCCAGAAGGTTTGCTGTGTCTTCAAGAACTGGACAAGGCCGTAGAAGGTCCTTAACCTATCAGCAGGACCAGTATCTGCTCCTTTGTGCAAAGAGGAACAGGATGAGCACTGCCAGAGGCCTACAAAATTACCTCCAGCAGGCCACTGGTGTGAATGTCTCTGACCAATCAGAAACTGATTTCATGAGGGCGGCCTGAGGACCCGACATCTTCTAGTGGGCCCTGTGCTCACTGCCTGGCACCATAGAGATCGATTGGCATTTGCTATTGAACACCAGAATTGGAGGTCCACCACTGGTGCCCTGTACTTTTCACAGATGAGAGCAGGTTCACCCTGAGTACATGCGACAGACGTGAAAGGGTCTAGAGAAGCCACGGCGAATGTTATGCTGCCTGTAACATTGTTCAGCATGACTGTTTTGGTGGTGGGTCAGTGATGGTCCGGGGAGGCATATCCACGGTGGGACGCACAGACCTCTAGACAATGGCACCCTGACTGCCATTAGGTATCGGGATGAAATCCTTGAACCCATTGTCAGACCATACACACTGGTGCAGCAGGTCCCTGGTTCCTCCTGGTGAACTACACTGTGGCGAGATTATGCAGGCAGTTCCTGGAGGATGAAGGAATTGATACCATTGAATGGCCCCATGCTCGCCTGACCTAAATCCAATAGAACACCTCTGGGAAATCATGTTTCAGTCCATCAGACTTCTCGCTTTCCTTTCTGGAGCACAAGTGAAATTTGTATTTTCAAGTGGAGCACCATGTAGAATATTGGACTGCTGCTATTAATTAGAAGCACATTATTTGAGCTATTTCTCTCATTCAAGTGGTGCTCATTTCATGGATGGTGAAATGGACACGGTTTCATTTACTTTATTTTATTTCTATGTCACTTTTGGATTGGTTCACGTGGTTTTCATTTATATTGTCGCTATAGCTTTTTATTTGTTTAGTGCTGCCTTATTAGACCTTTTGATTTTCATAAATAAAATAAGACTAAAGATCTACAAGCCAAGTCAACTGCATAGCAGTCATAAAATGAAAAGTACAATAAACTTTGGCAGCAGCGTAAATTCTGAGAGATTTAACAGCTTACCTTCTCTCCTTTGTTTTTGGAGTCTTCCTTCTCTTTCTTTCTTGCTGCTACCATAAATTCAATAAATAAGGTCTCACGATCTTTCATTTTCTCAATGGCTTTGAAACGAAGATCTTTGGCATGTTTGGCTGCAAATTCACTAAAGGTCATTCTGTAAAAATGAGTCTACGTCAGTGTCCTGAGCAATATTTTACAAAACATTTACCAGTGATTAAAGTAAAGTTAAATTAAGGAAAAGGGAGAAAACACATTTATCCTTACTTGTCAGATACACTATAGAGTAACTGAATGATATTCAGAATAAGGGAAGATCCAAAGAGACCAAACTACATTATTTCCATCTTCTGCATAGACAGAAATTCACTTGCTGTGGTTCACTGCAGATACGTTTTACATGTGGTACCTTTTATACCTAAAATGTGCTAGAAATCACAATAAAGCATACACCAAGTAGGACTTCACTCAACGCTTCGGTGTGAATGCAGCCTTTGGGAAGGATTAAAAGAAAATCTGCTTCAATGTAGGGAAGACTACAGTTCCACTATCCTGGGAGTCTTCAATGCAGCACCTTAATTTGTTGCATAATATGCATTAAAGCACAGGTTAACACACTAACACACACACACTGGGCCCATGCCTAAGACAAGTGAAATTAAATGTACGGTAATAACACAGCTTTGTTTTTGGTATCTTGAGTATTTAGTTTGAGTTAGCCTAGGTTCACACTAGTGCAGGCTGCATAATCCTACATTTTAAATGCAGTTTCATGCATTTTCTTGGAGGAAGAAACTGGATTTTACACACAAAACCCTGGCGGCAAAAATGCACTACAAATGCATGTATGGTGCACATGCACAGGCAGGAAATGTGGATGCTGTCCTAACTCACTCAGCACCCCTTCAGCAGTGGTACCACAGGCACTGAGGGTCCGGTCTCCTTTATAGCCCCTGAGCACACATCAGCATTGGGCTATGGCAGGCAAAATGATGGGGAAAACCCACAATTGCAGTATGGGATCCTCTCTTTTCTTCTACTCATCCCCCAGCTACCCCACCACACCTTGTGATGTACTCAGGTGATGCTGTCTTATTTGTCCGCTTTGCTTATTTGCTATGAAAAAGTATTCGTACCCCTTGAACTCATGGTAGAACCAAAAACATAAATGTATTTTATTGTGATTTTATGTGATAAACCAACACAAATTGGCAGATCATTGTGAAGTGGAAGGAAAATGAATTTCAAAATTTTGTTACAGTGTGGCGTGCATTTGTATTCAGCCCCCTGAGTCAATACTTTGCAGATCCACCTTTCGCTGCAATTAAAGCTGCAAGTCTTTTTGAGTATGTCTCTACCAGTTTTGCACATCTAGAGAGACATTTTTGCCCATTTTTCTTTGCAAAATAGCTCAAGCTCTGTCAGATTGGTTGGAGAGAGTCTGAACAGCAATTTTCAAGTCTTGCCACAGATTCTCAATTGGATTTAGGTCTGGACTTTGACTGGGCCATTCTAACATATGAATATGCTTTGATCTAAACCATTTGACTGTAGCTCTGGCTGTATGTTTAGGGTCATTGTTCTGCCCCAGTCTCAAGTCTTTTGCAGACTCTAACAGGTTTTTGTCTAACATTGCCTTGTATTTGGCTTATTTCATCTTCCCACCAACTCTGACCAGCTTCATTGTCCCTGCTGAAGAAAAGCAACCAGGTTGGCAAAAAAGCAGGTCTTCACAACAGGTACACGCACATAGAGAAAATGCAAATAAATACCAGAAGCTAGTTTTCGGGATGAGATGGTCCAGAAAAAAGGACACGTCTAAAGCTATTAGAAAGCACCCAGAGAGCTGACCATTGCAACTAAGTCATAAATTAGAAGATGGGTGGAAGTTGAACCACAAGGTGGAAAGAAAAATGTCTCCAACGGGGGTCCATGAGGGTCCCCACCAATTTAATAAAAGCACAGTTAGAGAAGAAAGAAGAGGGGTGTAGAGAAACAAGGAAGAAAGGAGAAAAGAAAGAAAGAAAAATAGAGTCCAGTAAAACAAAGTCTTGTGATGACAGGCTTCTTAAGAGATGAGGTAAGCTCCTCTATCGTCGGAATGCTATTCACAGCCTTGATCCCATGATGCAATATAAGAGGTGAGGTGAAGAAGGATGCAAGCCCTAGCTGCATTAATTAAGTGGATATCCAAGAAACGGCTATATTTCTGTCTGGAGGGAACCGAAGTGTAGAAGACAGGCTGCAGGTTTATGTTTGAGAAAAAGGTCCGTCAAGTTGTGGAACAGAGTGCAGACACTCTGGCAGAAGGGGAGGATCAGCGGACAGGTCAAGAAAATATGAAATGTACCTTTACCTGCACCACACATCTAGCAGGAATGGTCTCTCTCTGGAAAGATACAATATACTTTTGTGGGAACATCCTACTGATGTTTTGAACTATCGACTCGTATCTTTAATAAACTGTGATCTTAAAATTTTTAATAAAGCCCTGGCCCTTCAGCTCAATTCCTTTGTGGAATTATATATCCATAAGGATCAATTGGGATTCATTCACCTTCAACAAGTCTCTGATCAGACCCGTAGAACTTTGTACTTCGTATTAGTTGTCCACACTCGAAGAGACGCTCCTACACACAGGGAAGCTATGCTCCCTTTCTAAAGAATTACAGAAAGATTTTGAGAACTTATCTTGGAACTCTCCCCAACATTCTAGAGTGTTGGGGATTTAAAACTCCCTTTACGCATATTTTGTGGGCACTATATCAAATCCCCACTGCACAAATACTTTGTAGACGTTATAAATCCTTGCCCATAGAGATTCAAAGAGGGTACCCATTGCTACCATTACTTTTCACCATAGCAAAAGAATTTCTCGCTGTCTCCATTTGTACCATCCCTAATAAGGGATTTCCTATGGAAAACAAGAATACAAATGCACCCTTTTCACAGACAACGTCTTAATGTATATTTCATCCCCACATACAATTCCTAGCTTACTAAGCGCATTTTCCAAGATCTTGGGTCTAGTGCTGAATATAAACAAATCTGTATCTTTATTCATCAATTTACCGTGTGCACTACTTTGATCCAACATTAATTTTCAACAGGCCTCCAGAACGACACACTCTGTCCCTTCCCTCTTCAAACAAGTTATAAAAGATCTAAACAAATAGTCTATTATGCCCTGTCATGCTTCGGCAGGATTAACACTGTCAAATGAACGTACTTCATAGAATCTTATGTCACTATAGGACTTTACCCCTAGCAATCTGCAAAAGGGAACGGATCGTCAAGCCGCACAAATAGAGTACTTTGCCCACACCGCAATGGAGAAAGCACCACCAAAATGGGTAGAAATAGAAGAAATAGCCTGTCCGAGTTGTTTCTGTAGACAGGGATTTTTCTAGATATTTTATAGGGGTTATTTGAAAATGAACTACATACAAATACACTGCTCAAAAAAATTAAAGGAACACTTTTTAATCAGAGTATAGCATCAAGTCAATTAAACTCCTGGGATATTGATCTGGTCAGCTAAGTAGCAGAGGGGGTTGTTAATCAGTTTCAGCTGCTTTGGTGTTAATGAAATTACAACCGGTGCACTAGATGGGCAACAATGCGATGGGCAACAATGAGATGACCCCCAAAACAGGAATGGTTTTACAAGTGGAGGCCACTGAGATTTTTCCCCCCTACTTCTCTTTTCTGTTTTTCACTAGTTTTGCATTTGGCTAGGGTCAGTGTCACTACTGGTAACATGAGGCGATACCTGGACCCTACAGAGGCTGCACAGGCAGTCCAACTCCTCCAGGATGGCACATCAATATATGCCATTGCCAGAAGGTTTGCGGTGTCTCCCAGCACAGGAGAGCTGGACAGGGCCGTAGAAGGGCCTTAACCCATCAGCAGGACCAGTATCTGCTGTTTTGTGTGAGGAACAGGGTGAGCACTGCTAGAGCCCTGCAAAATGACCTCCAGCAGGCCACTGGTGTGAATATCTCTGACCAGACAATCAGAAACTGACTTCCTGAGGGCCCGACGGCCTCTAGTGGGCCCTGTGCTTTACCTGGAGCACATGTGACAGACGTGAAAGGGTCTGGAGAAGCCATAGAGAACGTGTTATGCTGCCTGTAACATCATTCAGCATGACCATTTTGGTAGTGGATCAGTGATGGTCTGGGGAGGCATACCCATGGAGGGACACACAGACCTCTTACAGGCTAGACAATGGCACCCTGACTGCCATTAGGTATTGAGATGAAATCCTTGCACCCACTGTCAGACCCTACGCTGGTGCAATGGGTCCTGGGTTCCTCCTGGTGCACGACAATGCCCGACCTCATGTGGCAAGAGTATGCAGGCAGTTCCTGGAGAATGATCAAATTGATACCACTGAAAAAATCCCATGCTCGCCTGAACTAAATCCAATAGAACACTTCTGGGATATCATGTTTCGGTCCATCCGACGCTGCCAAGTTGCACCTCAGACTGTCCAGGAGCTCAGTGATGCCCTGGTCCAGATCTGGGAGGAAATACCCCAGGACACCATCTGTCGTCTCATTAGGAGCATGTCCTGAGATTGTCAGGCATACATACAAGCTTGTGGGGGCCATACAAACTACAGAGTACTATTTTGAGTTGCTGCAATGAAATATAAGAAAATGGACTAACCTGCTGCATAATTTTTTCACTTTAATTTTTTGGGTGTCTTTGAATTCAGTTCTCTGTAGGTTGATATTTTTCATTTCCATCAAACGATGGGGCATCCTTACATTCCTAACACATTACCCAATCTATATCAGTATAGATATCCAACATATTTTTCCCCATTGAGATCTGATGTGTTTTCAAGTGTTCCTTTAATTTTTTTGAGCAGTGTATTATAAAAATAACCTGTAATTGCACCCTAATGAAATGTTTCCCTATAACCAATTATATCAGGCCATTGACTTAACCATTATTTGAATTATGCTGTAGAAACTACCACCCCTACAAAGGGTCACATCTCCATACTCTAAGAGCTCTTTGTAGATCCAAATTGCAAACTGCCTTATATGACTCAATGGGAACGAGATTATGGATCTACACTTGACCTAGAGGAATAGCAAAATATAGCTAATCGTTTGTCAAAAGTACATCCCTGGTGGAATCCAATTATAAAACATTACTACATTGGTATATGATACCCCCCTAGAGTAGCTACAACATGTCCACAAGCATTATGCTTAAAGCCTAGAGGCCAGATAGAATCATGTTTAACATTTAGTGATAATGCCCAGAAGTCACCAAATTCTGGGTCAGCCCTTTCAACTTGATACGTTTGTTAACTGTAGTGACTATCCCAAGAATGCCAAAGATGGCTTTTTTCCAAAAATTAGACATTGATGCCCCAAAATACTTGGAAAGGGCAATCAGGCAAGTAACCACTAAGCACAGTGGGTGGTAAGACAATGGCCAAATGTACACCAGGTAAACATTTTTACAGTTTGTCAACTTGGTGCCTGGAAATTGTTAGGACTATGAAGCATAGACCTATTCTTTCAGTTAACATTTGTACTTTACGTTTACTGTCCCTATAACCCTTTTGCAGCTTTTATTTTTTTTTTTTTTTAGCATTTTTATAATTTTTTCGGGGCATTTCCCTACAGTGGCTTCCAAAAGTCCTAATAAAAAAAAAAAGGTTATACTCATCTGCTTTTGAACAGAGCAGCCCCGATCCTCTTCTTTTTGGGTCCCCTGCTGCCGGTCCTGATTCCCCCCTTCCCACCAAGTGTGCCTCCAAAAGCATGCTCCTTGCTATGGGGGCACTTGAGCAGACTCAATCCCAAGCCACGTGCTCCTGTGAATGAACACAGTCCATTCACACACAGAGCTCGGCTCAGCCTTTCCCCCTGCTCATTGGCTTTGATGGACAACAGCAGGAGTCAATGGCTCTGTCATCTGTGTGAGGAGAGAAGAGAGAGACCCAGGAGAGCCACGGCTCTCATGCAAATCACTGAATCAAAATGAGGTTCAGGTAAGTATAAGGGGGAGCTGCACCCAGAAGGCTTTTTTTTTACCTTAATCAATAGAATGCATTAAGGTAAAAAAAACCTCCTGCCTTCAAAACCACTCTAATTGTTAAACTATTTTTCTTAACCCTATAATAGTATAGTACAGGTGACAGGTTCTCTTTAAAATGAAAGCAGGGGGTCAAGGGTTACATGCCATGATGGTTCCCAGCTCTCAGGAGGGACAGGTTAGCCTGGAACACATAGGGGGAGGGGTGTTGGTAAGGGGTAGTACTTTCTCCTACATGTAGAAGAGATCAAGTGGCTTTACGGTCACCCAAATCATTTTTACTAGAAAGGTAGCAACCAGGAGTAAAATATAAACAAACACCTGGCTGCAATAATGGCAGCAAGTTTGTAACAGTTAACTTGGTGGTGGAAAAAGGGTTACATAATGGTTTTCAATAATTCTGTATATAACCTACAGGACTGTATGCCTCAGATATACATGTCTGTGAATACATACACTAGTTACATATGTGCAAAGTGTATACCTGGTATTAATCTTGCCTTCCTCCATCATTTTCTTGAAGTCTTCTTTTGACTGCATAATTTTGTTTTTCTTCTCTCTCCGCTCCTCCTCCGCCCTGGTTTTCACATACTGATCAAACACCTGGGGAGATTTGAATTAGCATCATTGCAAAATTATTCAACAGTGGGGCACAGGAGATCAGTGGTTAGGCATGGGCAATTACTGGAGGAATTATGAGAAATATGCTTGCAGGGTGCTACAAAACAAGGTTGCAAATGGTTTATTGAAATGCGACCCATTTCTTTACCCATGGGAGATTCATCATTTTACAAAAGATGTTACATTGTAGCTTCTCAGCAGTCTATTACCATAATTTTTCAAACTACTGCAACGAACCAAAACCATGAACTGATCTGCCCTTCTCTTTTGGTTGGTAGCTATTTACATAATTAAATAATTTAGCAATGTCCTAGTTGCAGAGGAGTATGCAAAGGTCTCAGACAAAGGTAAACCAATCCCTTCTATTTGTTAAAGGCCACAAATTATACTGGTACAAACTTGAAAATTATGTCAGGGCAAAAAAAATAAAAAAAAAAAAAATTTCCCCCATGTTCTCTTTAACCACTTCCCGTCCGGCCGTTGTATATAAACGGTGGCAGTGCAGTGGCGGGTCGTGGTTTCTAAACGGCCTCTGTGCCCCCTGCTTGTGCACGCTCCCTGGGAGAGCGCAGCACCGCAATCTGGTACCCGCTGTGTCCTCCGGGATACACTGGAACACCCATCGTCGTACCTCTGTGCGAGGTCCCGATCATGTGATCACTGATTGGCCAATCAGTGATCACATGCAGAGTAGTAAGCAAGATGTCACTTCTGACATCATTGCTTACTACGTGTGAAATCTGTGAATGATCACAGAGGTCACATGGTACAAGGCTATTCACAACAGCCTTGTACCAGGTGACAAGCTGTGACCAATCACAGCTCTCACAGTATTTCTAAATGGACACAAGAATGCAGCCAGAGAGGAGAAATGATTGCTTTTACAGCCTTTATGGGTGTAAAAGCAATCAGTGTAAAAAAAAAAAAAAAAATCTTCATCACCCCCAAGTAGTACAGTGTCACCATGGTGACACTGTACTGCTAGGGTGACAGTATGTAAAAAAAAACAAAACAAATATAAAAAAACGATAAAAATATAAAAAAAAAAAAAAAAAAAAAAAAATTATATTTTTTGGTTATAAACTAATTTGGGTTATTTTTTTTTTTTACTAAAAAGATAACTGAATAAAATTGTGGCCAAGATTTATGATGAAATATTATTTATTTGCAAAATTTTATAAGAAAAACACTTTTTTTTCCAAATTTTTGGACTTTTTCATTTATATAGCAAAAAAAAAAAAAAAAATCCTTAATTTCTTTCTGTGGGTTGACAACACAGCATTTTTGTGGACTGAGTAGTGTCAGCTCAAACCTGCCCCATCTCCAATCTCAACAGACACTAACCATTCTTTATTTCTAAGATACGTAATAGGGTAATTTACTCTTAAGATCAACATAAAAATTGTGCACAAGCACAGACAGCTCTGAAATTCTGACAAGATTTACTTGGGGGGTTTTAACGGGTACCTAATTTTGACAGGTAGCTGCTCGCACTTCCACCACAACCTCCCAGGCAGTCTGAAGTGGAAGTTCTTCTCTGCCCCTCCCTCCCCATAGTCTTCTGGAACACGTGACAGGTCACAGAAGACTGCCTTCACAATGCGCAGCATGGCTCAGTTAACATGCCAGCATAGGGGAAAATCAACATGAGGTGAAAACGGCTTGGGTGAGCACACCGTTGGCTTGTGGAACAGGTGAGTGGCTGTTTACTAAAAGTAAGCAGCTACAGTTTTTGTAGAGGTGAACTTTTAATTTTTACATAGGAGATTGGAGCTCCTCTTTAAGAGACCAATAGAACGCAAATATTAGAAGTTCATTGTAAGGACTTACATAACACTTTAAAATAATAGGATTTTCTTTAATGAACGTAGCTTAAAGGGTAAGTTCTCCTTTTGAAAAAAATAAATGCACTTTTTTTTGCAGGTAAAAAAAATGTGCATTTAATACTTCTTTTTAAAGGAGCCTGCAGAGCATTGCACCCGTGATCAACAGAGGACGGGTGCAATCTCAAGCTCAGAACAACGGTCTGCCCGTACCTCATACGGGCAGGCAGCTACTTGAGAGCAAAAAGGTCAAAGGACGAGAGTGCTCACCAGTGCCCTCATAGTTCATTGAGGACTATTACTGTTACTTGTAGACTATCCACTAGTAATATCATGTCAGAGCTTACGGAGCTTCAAAGAGAGCAAAAAGCTGGTGCCCACTTAGCTGGTGCCGTCTGTGACTGAAGTTGCCAATTTATTTGCAGTGTCGCAAAGTACAGTAACAAAGGTTATGATGGCATACAGTTTTTGGGAAAACATCATCTGACATGGTTGTCGAGGTCCAGGTACGGTCTTCAGGGCTTAACTGAATATTAGCCATTTCAAAAGCTGCAAAAATAAGCTTCAATAGCTCTACATTGCTTGAAAAACTTGCTTGTAAATTGGAGAAAAAGAATTTCTTCTCAGTTCTCCTACTAGCAAAGAACTGAGGCATGCTGGGAGTGGGAGGAGTAATACTGGGCTGTCCATACAGCTCGTGTCCACTTTTCTGAAGGCAGCAGCATAACGTTGTACTGGAATACTTTCCCCATGTCCCATAAAGTTAGAGTAAAATGGTTCTAAAGGCAGGGTTTTTTCCCCCTGATGCATACTATGCATTAGGGTAAAAAAACATTCTGGGTGAAGCTGCCCCCTAACACTTACCGGAGCCCCATCTCAATCCAGTGATGAGCATGAGAACCGCTGCTCTCCCAGGTCTGTCTCTCCTCACTGGCTCACACAGCAGCAGCACTCTCAATTACAGCCAGCGAGCCAATGAGGAGAGAGCAGGGCTGAGCCACACTGTGTGTGTGAATGGACAATGTCCATTCACAGGAGCGTGGCTCAGGCGCAAGCTTGCTCGAGTGTCTCCACAGCAAGAGGCTTGCTAATGGGGGCAGTATGCAGGGGGAAGAAGCCAGGACCGCCAGCAGGAGACACGAAAAGGATCAGGACTGCTCTGTGCAAAACCACGGCATAGATTGGTTAAGTATGACATTCCCCCCCCCCCCCCAATTACAACCTTTAGAATCACATTAAGAAATGTAAACAGTTTAATGTAGTCTGCGCACTTTAAAGTGTTACTAAACTCACAACAGTAAAATCAGTCCGTATATGTAGTAACGCATGCTTGTTATACTCACTGTGGAACCTAAGGGATTTATCATCTGCATTGTGTAAAAATGCTGTTTGAACCTGACTTCTCTGATCCTCCCCTTCTTCCAGTGTCCCCCTCTCATCTCCTGATAAGACATATCATGTGGAGTCACTGTGCACATGCTCAGTTTGGCATATATTGCTAGAGAAGTTGCATGTGATTAGCACAGGGCCAATTAACACTGTCCAGCCAGAGGTCAGGAATTCTGCATCCTCCTAGAGCAGAATGAAAACTCCTCCTACAAACTTCAACATGTACTTTGCTGAACACTGATAGAAGTCACAAGACTGCTCTAACTGCTGATGAGAAAAGGTATTTAACAGATATTTACTAAAATAATTGCACTTCCATGTTCTGTGGGAGACCAGATATAGTGAATTCAGGGTCCTGGGTTTAGTAACACTTTAAGCTCAATATTTCATTTATTTTACCATAAAAACAGCAAAACCTGAAATGTTGAAATACAAAATTTCACTAGCTCCCCTTTAAAAAAAAAAAAAAAAAAGCCACAAAGTGTGCTTCTAACTGCTACACAATTTACCTGTTTCCTCTCTTTAGGGTTCAGAAGTAAATAACGAGGATCAAACACAATCTTGTGGAGCTCCTTTTCCCAGGTTGAAAATGCAGACACCTTTAAGGAAATAAAGACAAAGCAATATAGGCAGAAAATTAGTTGTGGTTTGTACAGTAATTGAACACTATACGCCTCCTAGTAGATAGCTTGCGTGACATCTGTACAAAGAGGGACAGAGCAGAAAGCGGTGTTCAGATTTTCATCACTAATGGATGATGACCAGTGGGAGGCTAGAGTGGCAAATTTTCAGCACTAATTGGCTTTGAACAGGTCTCAATAATTACATACAGGCAACGCACAGCTAATAACTCATTAAAATAGCCACTACTGAGCGACATTTAGAAGGCACATCAAAAGCAATCCTTGAAGTTGAAATAATATGCCTGGCAAGGGCTGGAAAAACATAACCCTTTCATTACCTAAAAAGCCAACACTGTGAAACTATTCATTCAAGGTCCTGCCCAGCTGGAAGCTAAAAGGTACATTTACACTACAAACACCTGCCAAAACCTGCTTCCAGGACCAAAGCCAATTAATCCCTTTATAGTACTTCGAGGTCTATGCACAGCTGCAGTACCATTTTTAAATTTAGTATGGGTGTCTTAGAGAAAACTCTCCAGCAAGAGCAGAAGGTGAACCTCTTGACCCAAACAACTCTTCTGAGCTACCAAATTCAATCTTTAATTAGTGGAAGATGTAAAAGGACAAATGCTCATAAATCTAACAGATCCCTTGTATTTTTGAGGTCCTAGTAGAAAAGAAAATCCCAAATCTGAGCATCTGAAACTTCTCCATGCAAGTTTTGTCTAAAGCCTAAATTATATTTAAGCCCAAAAACAAAAATATATTGCAGCTTATCAGTCTCCAGAGAAACGGCTGCATCAATTTCCTTTTTTTTTCTATTTTTACCAGGTGATTCTACTAGTAATACAAGTCTTGTCCTAAATCTCACTTACGGCATCTATGCAGTATGGAGAGGCAGCATTGTCGTCCTAGGACAGGTGGTGTGTTATGACTACAAAGCACCTCCCCCTCTAGTCATCTTCATAACCTGTGGGTGAAGTGTCTTGTAGTGAAGCTGATAACGTTGCGATATCACTTCAGTGCACAGAAAGCAACAAAGACACTAGAACTTAGGCAAGATCAACAGGTACTTTTTTACTTGCAGAAAATTAACTGAAAAATTAAAACAATTGCAGCCACCATATCTAAGGACTGGAAAGCTGCAATACATTGCAATTTTGTATATGGATTTAGACATCCTTTAAAGAAGGCCAACTGAAACCCCTTGTAGTACTTTTCCTAATTACTTAAAGTGACACTAAAGCTTTGCTTTTTTTTTTTCCTTTTCTTTTCCTAAAACAACAAACAGGTCTATACTTACCAGCTCTGTGAAGTGGTTTTGAACAGAGCAGCCCCGCTCCTTTTCTTTTCAGGTCCTCATCAGCGCTCCTGGCTTCCTCCCCCTCAAGCAGTGCCCCCCAGTGAAAGCCATGCGCCCTGGAGGTACCGCAGCGCACTGTGATTAACAATAGTATATGCACCAGGGGAAAAAAAAAAACCTTCTGCCTTTAGAACCACTTTAATCATACTTTACGGGACACAGAGAAAGTATCTCAGTAAAACATTATGCTGTTGCCTTCAGGAAACTGGACACTGGCAAACGAGTATTACAGTGATCTTCACTAGTATGCAGGTTCTGTGCAGCTGCCCTGCTGCATTCTGAACACAGGAGGTCACAAAAAATCAGCATGGGTACCATTCAGAGATTTTCCCAACGAATGCAAAGCGCTCTCCAATTACATGAGGTGGTGCAGTGATGTCATGATGAAGTATTGAGAGATGTAAAGTGTACCATGAATGGTGCCAATGCCAAGTGGGCAACCTAATGTATTCAACCTTCTTGATCCTTTAGTCTGGCTTTCGCTCTCTACACTCCACTGAAACTGCCCTACTAAAACTCACTAATGATTTACTAACTGCTAAAACCAATGGCCACTACTCCGTACTCTTACTACTTGACCTCTCTGCAGCTTTTGTTACTGTCGACCATCCCCTCCTCCTCAAAAAAACTCCGCTCTCTTCGCCTCAGAGACTCTTCTCTCTCCTGGTTCTCCTCCTACCTATCGCAGCGCTCCTTCAGTGTTACCTAGAACGCTGCCTCCTCCACTCCATTCCCTCTTTCTGTAGGGGTCCCTCAAGGTTCTGTCCTTGGACCCCTTCTCTTCTCCATCTACACCTCCTCCATTGGTCACTTGATAAACTCCCATGGCTTTAAGTACTATCTCTATGCTGATGACACACAAATCTGTCTACTCCTCACCTCTACAGTCTCCTCTCACATTACTAACCTACTAAGTGACATCAGCAAGGATGTCACTCCACTTCCTCAAACTCAATCTTTCCAAAACTGAGCTCATACTCTTTCCTCCAGCCCGTGTCCCCTCCCCTGACTTCTCAGATCAATAATAGGACCATCAGTCCCTCCCCTCATGCTAAAGGTACTAGGTGTAATCCTAGATTCCCATCTGTCTTTCAGCCCCAAATAAAATCACTGTCCAAATCTTGTACACTTCAACTCCGCAACATCTCCAAGATATGCCCGTTCCTAACCTCGGAAACCACTAATCAACTTATTCACTCCCTGTTATCTCTCGCCATGACTATTGTAACTCCCTCCTCATTGGCCTACCTCATCGCAGGCTATCCCCTCTTCCGTCTATCATGAATGCTGCTGCCAGACTCATTCACCTTACTAACCGTTCTGTATCTGCCACCCCTCTCTGCCAATCCCTCCACTGGCTTCCCATTGCCCAACGGATAAAATTTAAAACATTAACAACATATAAAGCCATTTATAACTCTGCCCCAAATTGCATTACAATCTTGTCTCCAAATATCACCCAAACCGTACTCTCCGCTCCTTGCACGAACTCCTGCTCTCTAGCTCCCTTGTCTCCTACTCCCATGCTCATCTCCAGAACTTCTCTAGAGCTTCCCCAATCCTCTGGAACTCTCTACCCCAACTTATCAGACTATCGCCTACTCTGCTCACTTTTAGGCGATCTCTAAAAACCCCTCTCTCTTCAGGGAAGCCTATGCCCTCAGTTAACAATGGAATCTTCCATTCCTCCTACCAATCCATCCCCCACAGTTATTACCTTTTGTACCACTAGCCCTTCCCTCCTAGATTGTAAGCTCCAAGGAGCAGGGCCCTCCTAACCCTCTTGTATTGAACTGTATTGTTGCTGTATTGTCTCCCGTTATATTGTAAAGTGCTGAGCAAACTGTTGGCGCTATATAAATCCTGTATAATAATAATAATGTAGGCATAGGGAAGCTGCTCGGCAGGGGACTTGGAAGTTAATGAAGATCACCGTTGTATTTGCGCCTACTAAAGGGATTTCCAATTTCCAAGGAGATTGGCAAAGCTGGACCAATGTAACAGTATAGTATATCCTTACCTGGAAATCATCTTTAAGTGTTCCAAAATAAAAAACAGAACAATCTGCACAAGGACATACAGTCGGAAAGATAGGACTCTTGAGCTCATGCCTCTTCTTTTAGTTGAAATCCTTTTCTGTCCAATCTTCCAGTGCGGCAGGGGTTAAACCAACTAAGGAGCTGTGACAAGCTCTCATCAAAAAGCCATACTACAGCTTCTTGGAATGAAACGTGACCTATCAAAGGATGACTGGAGGATGATTGATTGGTCCACCCCCTCCATTCATAAATCCTGTTTCATTCACCCCTTTGTGCGGATTTTATCGTTTTTAGTTCTGGCTGCACCTAGGCTTTAAAGGTGTCCTACACATCAGCATATACTCTCTGTCCAAAAAATCAGGAATAACACACAAATCCTGGTGCTTGTGCTGCAACTTTCAGGTTTTATGCTTTGGGCACACACGGTCTTGCACAGATCAGCCACCCACTCAAGCATTTTCTCTCTTTTCAGTTGCAACAAAAAACTACAAGGATGCAGTATGAGTGATAACCTGGGAGACTTTGCAGTAGACAAATGACATCGTTCTCCAAGAATACACCCTCAGCCCAGAGAGTCAATGCCTTGATCTGAGACAAATTAATGCACAGTTGGAGGAGTGTGCAGATGTGGAGATCGAAGGACTGAAGTGGTCAGGCTAAACAAAAGCCACAGGAGTAATGACAGTCTCCATGGATTCAACATTTTCAGATGACTTTTTGACGGGACTATGTTTAGCTCTTCTTTGTATGGAGCATACACCAAAGAGTGTAAGAATGTATTTACCAAATTGTGGCAAGCTTTGTTAAACAGCGCAGTATAGCAATCTTAACTGACACTTGACATGTTGCGTAAGTATATAAAAAAAAACAAAAAAAACACAAGGGGGTTATTCATTTCTACTTTCTGCAATTATTTAGTATGATTCATGACTAGTATAACACAAAAACAATCAGAGATGTATTTAGCATGTATGCTACAATTTTTTTTTCTGCAAACTCAATGCAATATAAACTTTATGTTTTTTTTCTAAATGAAGTAAATTTTCCCATATACAAAATAATGCCAAATGCATGTGTAATACAACATTATAGAAAAAAGAAGGGACATCATTATCAGTTTGGTTTTTAGGTTACAAGTTGCTCTGAGTATTTTACATACATTGAAATAGTTTATTATTTATAACCCATTGCTGAAAAACATACAGACATGTGTGGCCTGTTCTTGTCCTGTATAGCGTGCTCCCTCCCATCACAGAGACCGAGATGTCGCAGACAGCTCCAGGTGTTGTACGAATGACTGAGCCGGAAGGACCAGCTCACGATCACATGATCGTTGTGATAGCCCACCGCTCTTATTAGTGACTGTACAACCCACTCCTGTACTCTCTTTTAAAATGAATAGACATCTTTTTCTCCTTGCTAGAGAAGAATGTTTTCAACAGTTTGTAAGTAAAAAGATAAAACAGCTATTTTAGGTAGGATACAAAAAAATTTTTTTTACTAAATGTGCCAAAGCGGAAAAACTGGCTTCAGGCATTAACAGCTGTTTACACCATTTTTTCTCATGGGATTAAAATTTTTCTTTCTTGTTAACATATTTTGTTCTACCATTTCACCTGCAATCCACTTATGTTCCTAAAGTTTTCCCTCAAGTGGCTATATTTGTATACAAACTCAAATAAGATTTCCACATATCTAAGAAAATGATTTACTAACCCCTCTCTCAAGCAACATATCTCTAAACTGCTTCATTCGCGCATCCAGGGGAACAATGGCTCGCTCACGAGCGGCTTTAATTTCAGCCTCCATAGCGGTTTCTTTTTCAGTTTCTGTCTCCTCTTTCCTATTAAAGCAAAAAACAAATATATATTAATATAGCTGTCAGTTGGAAAGAGTATGCATGTCATTTCAATTCTGACACAAGCTGGAAAAAATTGGATAATTTGTTTATCTGTAAAATCCTTTTCTTGGAGGACATCATGGGGCACAGAGCACCTTCATATACATGAAAACACATTCAGGTGCACACCGACACAAAAAAGAAAAAAAAGGGACAGGAAAATCCCCTCCTAGGCATGCTATTGCTAGGCAAAGCCTCGGTTTTTGTAGCAAGCCATGAACCACAAAGGAAGATGGAATCTCTGCATCCCTTGATGTACTTGAAGAAAATGATTTTAGAAGTAAACCCAAACTCTTATTTTCTTTATGGTACATAACAGGACACAGAGCACATCATATTCATGAGGATAGGGATGTCCCAAAGTACTGAATATGAAGGGAAGGAAAGGCAATACGGCAACAAGCCAACTGGCTCCAAACAACAAAACCAGAAGAGGTTAGAACCTCACGCAGCAGCCTGCAAAAATACGTGTTGACCAAAGATAGAGTCCTTCAGCTCTAACATCCACTTGGCTTAGTTTTCTTTTTAAGTGGTAACAGATGACGCTTACCCACGGTCACTTTCTGGATGTAATCATCCAAAGCAGGACCAAACATTCCCCTAGAAAGGTTAAATGTTTCACATGTTTTTTGCAGGACAATTTTGAAGACCAAGGCTTTAGCCATAAGATTCTGCGCATCTATACGGATAAAATCCCAAGATAAGAAAGTTGTTGTATGGATTCCTTTAAAGGCATCCACTGTGGAGCCAAGAGTAAGTTGAAAATCATCCAGGTTTCTGTGTGATTCAGTATCTCCACTACTAAAATCCTCTCTCGTCAAGTAACAAGCTCACACCTTAAGGCTTTGACACATGCCAACAGCCACAACTGCTGGTTGTAAATCTGCTCCCACCAGAATAAAATCTCCAGATGTTTATCTGAGCCTTCCTTAATCATTGAGATCTCATCCACTAGGCACATGAGGGTCTTGACGAGATAAGAGGCTGCCAGATCCATTAAAGACATATGCTATTTCTTGGGGAACTCACTCTCCATGGGGTATTGCAAAACAAACCTTTTTAGACCGAACATCTTCTCAAAAATGGTCCCAGTCCATGTACAAATCCTTTAAAAGAGGATGTACAGGGAAGGATTCAGGACGCTGTGTCAGATGCCTTGATCCAAATCCTTTTACCTTTGGAGTCGAGGACTGGGGAACTGGCAACTTTAAATTAGTCCAAACAACATCCCCAGAAAACTCACAAAGGCTGATAAACTCTAATCCTAGGATTCTTCAGGAGCAGATTTCTTTGTTGAGAAAGCCTTTGAATCCCCTTCCAATGGAAGATTATCATCTTCCACTTGTTCCTTCTCTGTTAATGAAGAAGGGGGGGGGGGGTTGTAAGAGGATTGCTTCTCCACTTGTGACCAAGCTGCTAAGCATTCCAGAAAGATGCTGCTCCAGCAATAGCAGAAGTGAATTCCTCCCTTTTCACAAAGAAACTGGAGGAAGGTACCCCAAAAATAGAGGAATGCTCTGCTGTGATCTGTAATTCCACAAGGAATGCACTGCTGTGACCTGTAGTCCTCACAATACTGTGACCTGTAGTCCTGACATAGCACCACTCCAATATTGCAGCAGAGCTGTCCTCTGCCCTTTACTACAGATCACATGTGCAGTAGATTGGAGCCAGAGGGCGCTCTGCACCACTCATGACATCATGGCCACACTGTGCATGCACGCATGTCCCAGAACATACCCGAGTGAATGCAAGGGGTGGAGAGGAACTCTTGGTGCCAGTAGCCTCCTAGACTGCCACTAAGTTTTACTACAGCTGTGTAGAGCTTGGGGTCGCCAATGAAGCTGCAGTAGTAACAGTTCATCACAGATAAAAAACATAAATGGAGAATTACTCCTGAAGCCTTGCCTAATGGGGAAGGGTTATTCCTAGGAATGGATTTCCAGTCTGTTTTCAATCAATGTTCCAATCAATTGAACATGGCAGCATAAACTTATCATCATGAATTTGAAAATGCTCTGTGTCTGTCATGTACGACAAGAAACATTATTGGACATTTGAACATTTTTTTAGCCCCATACGTGAATATACTGGAACCTAAAATAGAAAAATGTTTTAACCAATAACTAGTAAAAAAAAAAAAAAAAAAAAGTAAAAAATAGGAAACTATATTTCAAAGATAATGATCCATAACATAAGTGCAACACTGGAGAAGAAAAAAAAGAAAAAACCTTTGGTCTTACAAAAACACATGGTGATTGAAAGGACAAGGTGAAAAACACGCACACCTCAATTAGGGAAAAATCTCATGCTGGATATCTATACTGATATGGACTGGGTATTGTGTTAGGGAATGGCAAGAATGTCCCATCATTTGATATAAATAAAAATTATCAACCTACAGAGGATTGAATTCAAAGTGAAAAAATTATGCAGCAGGCTAGTCCATTTTGCTGAAATTTCATTGCAGCAACTGAAAATGGTACACAGTAGTTTGTATGGCCCTTACACCTTGTATGCATGCCTGACAATGTCAGGGCATGCTCCTGAGACGGATGGTGTCCTGAGGTATAACCTGGTGGCGTCGGATGGAACAAAGGGTGTTCTATTGGATTGGATTCTATTAGGTCAGGCAAGCATGGGGGCCATTCAATGGTATCAATTCCTTCATCCTCCAGGAACTGCCTGCATACTCCCGTCACATGAGGCCGGGCATTGTCGTGCACCAGAGGAACCCAGGACACACTGCACCAGTGTAGGGTCTGACAATGGGTCCAAAGATTTCATCCCAATACCTAATGGCAGTCAAGGTGCCATTGTCTAGCCTGTAGAGGTCTGTGCATCCCACCATGGATATGCCTCCCCAGACCATCACTGAACCACCAAAACAGTCATGCTGAAAGATGCTACAGGCAACATAACATTCTCCACGGCTTCTCCAAACCCTTTCAAGTCTGTCACATGTGCTCAGGGTGAACCTGTTCTCATCTGTGAAAAGCACAGGATGCCAGTGGTGGACCTGCCAATTTTGGTGTTCAATGGCAAATGCCAATCAAGCTCTATGGTGTTGGGCAGTGAGCACAGGGCCCACTAGAGGTCGTCATGCCCCCAGGGCACCCTCATGAAGCCTGTTACTGATTGTTTGGTCAAAAACATTCACAACAGTAGCCTGCTGGAGGTTCATTGTTGCCCATCTAGTGCACCTGTTAATTTTATTAACACCAAAGCAGCTGAAACTGCTACTTAGCTGACCAGATCAATATTCCAGGAGTTTAATTGACTTGTTGCTTTACTCTGATTAAAAAGTGTTTCTTTAATTTTTTTGAGCAGTGCATGCCGGTACATATATGTGTGTACACACACACACACACACACACACACACACACACACACACACACACACACACACACACACACACACACACACACACACACACACACACACACACACACACATACATATATATAGAGCACAGGGGTTAGACAAAAAAACATGAAAACATTGCACGATTTGCAGGTGTAAAAGTGATTACATGTTTTGGTGTTGAAAGCGGAAGTGGTGTAACATTCTTTTGCTTCCACTGTGTGATGAGATACCTAGCTACCATGTGGGAAGCCTCACTTTAGTCATTCACTGCGTGCGCTGCTGTACTACAAAGTCATGTCAGAGCTTACTGAGCTTCAAAGAGGGAAAAATGTTGGTGCCCCTGTGACTGGACTTGCTAATTTATTTGCCGTGTCGCATCGCAAAGTTCAGTGTCAAAGGTTATGACAGCATATACAGTTTCCAGGAAAGTAGCATCTGATAACCATAAGTGCTGTTGACATGGTCAACTGACCGAAAGAGACAAAAAGGACATTGCAAATGATTGTGACCCGGAACAAGAAAACTGCTGCAAAAGTGACTGCAGAGTTCAATCTCAGTCCCTTGAAGACTGAGAGCTGTTCTCTTCCATTTAGGTGGATTGGATTAGAGGGTAGTCAGGAGTAAATGGACTCTGCTGTCCCTTTAGGCCCAGTTCACACTACATGTGTTTCAGTGTGCTATTTTCTGAATCTAAAAATGCACAGAAAGTAGGTTATATGGTTGTCAATGTCACAGTTCATATCAATGCTTGCAGTTCCAGTGCGTTCCGGATGCAGGGAAGAAAAAAAAAAAAAAAAAAAAAAAGAATAGGCTGCATTTTTCCTGCACAGACCTGTACTGGAATGCAGTTCCAGTGTCAATGTCCCTATTTGATGGTGTGAACCAACCCTTACTCCTGGCCGCCCATAGAGCAGAGTGGGTTCACTCTGTCTGCTTGGCATTAACTGAGCGGACACAGATGTGCCATCCTCCGCTCTGCTCCAAATCAGCAGGGGACCTGTAAGCAGATCACATGATGATCAAGAAGGAATTCGCCCCATCTGAAAAAACGCCTTAAAGTTAATCTTTCCTAAAGTTTATACTCTGCTTCTTCTATGTGCCCTTTACTACTGTGGGAGACCACTAGTGCTTGTGCAATAATATTTTGGCACCCATATTAACCTTGTTTCTACCTAATGCTTGTGTGCTGTCTATCAAGCTGCCTTGGCCAACCCACCGAGCTGCACTAAGCTGGAAGCAGAAGAAAAGCTTTTTTAAAGCAGAATTCCAGGCCAACAGAAAGTTGCCATGCATATAGGTCCAGCTGGATTACTTGCCAGTCCTGAGATTTGGTGACAAGCATTATCTATGAGGCAGTTAAACACAGTTCAGTCACCTCTCTACACCTAACCTGTAAATGGATAGTTGTGGACCAGCAATTGACTGGCCATCCCTCTGCTCTCTCTTTCCCCACTAACAGCATATGCATACCTGCTTGGTCCCAATTGCCATCCTTCCTTCTCCTGTCTGAGCACTGCTACAAAAGGTATTGCAAAGCTGATATCATGTCCAATTCAGATATTTATACTAGTTTTATACTAATTTTTTTTGCATATATATAGCTGATTTTGCTGTTGCTTTTTTTAATACCTGCCTGGAGTTCAGTTTCAAATGAAAATATAAAGAACGGCTCTAATTGTGTTGAGTACCTAAAAGTTCCAGCGTTTTTGTCCAACTAGAGGTGGATATATAAGCTGTTTATCATGTCAACGCTGTTAAACATGTCAAAGCACACCCAATTCTCTGCTAATCATTTAAGTTACACATTAAAAGGCATCTTTAGTAGTTTTTTTATTTTAACACTAGCAAAAAGAAACGTGTATTTAAATGTTAAAATTTGGGCACATGTTCACATACACAAAAAATTACTTAAAAACAATATTATTAAAGCCAAGACACAAATAAACAGGTACATATGTGAAAAATACCTGTAATGACATTTTCTAAAGACAGCCATCAAAGCGACAAAACTTACTTCCGCTTTTTTGCTTTTACAGGCTCATCGTCGTTCGCATCTTCTGCAGATTCGTGATCTTCTTTGACTTTGAATTAATAAGAGGAAACAAAAGCATTTATCGGGATCTGTCTTTTTAAAATGACCTTGAATTCATGAAAGGGGGAGAGGCGATCAATTTTCAAAATTTAATGTAAATCATATACTAAACAGATTTTTTTTTTTTCTAACAAGGAAACTTTTTTCAATCAGTAATCCACGCAATATAAAGTGAATATGAAAGGGGTGATCACATTCATAGTATATTAAACCACAATCTTAACTGGATGTTGAATAAACAAGGAAATGCTTACAAATGGTCCATTTTGTCATAGAAGGTCAAAGGTTTGTAAACTCACAATATTTCTTGTCATCCTCTAATCCTCTCTTATGTGGAGGCTCCTGGATAATTTTATCAACATCAGCTCTTCCAATCAAGTCTTCTGGTCTGTCCCACATAGAAAGGCGAGTGGTTGGATTGTAGAAAAATACCCTTTCATCACCAGTCCACACAACACACCTAATGGTGGAAAAAACACACCATTAGAAAGTCATAATCGTTTAGGGTCTAAAAGGCACCCCATAGACATGAAATGACCCACACAGCCTGAGTTTGGATGGAGACACAATCTTCATGTACACTGGCAGGCGCCTGTTCTGATCATTCTCCTAGGAACTTGCAATCAGCACTACTGTTACACTAAAGCCAGAAAATACCTGGTTGTGCTACATTCAGACATTAATTAAACATGCTAAGGCAATTCCAGCAGAAACGAAGAAATACAGAGGCAGAGGCTGCCATGGATGACCTCTCTTTCAAAATGCTAGTTCCCTGACTCATGCTGATGCACTGACTTTAGTCACTGACTCATAATAAATAAGTAGATGTGAATCCTGACTTCAGGATAAATTTTATTCACTACTTGTTCCAGGCCAGTATATGAAAAAGTATTTAAGCCACAGATACAAGCAGTAGGATGGTATTGGCTACATATATCTCTCTCGTGACATGTAGCAGATAAAGTCATGTACAGACACTTAACAGATTTTGTTTGAATCTTTATAAATATGTAAATTTACAAAATGAAGCAAAGCAATACAACACGAGTTTAGAGGATAATCCGTGGATATTATCTTTTAATATAAAGGTACAACCATAAAAGTAGGATTGGGAAAATCCCAGGAGACAAGTATATAATATGTACCCAAGCAAAGAAAACATTGGTTCTGTAAGTAACTGTTAGGACCCTACAAGTTAAAAGACATCTGACATCTCGATACAAGGATAACTGGAATAAAGTCAACACTCAGTTTGACTATAGTTAAATTGTTTTGAAAGACAAATTAATTTCTGATCAGTCTTTGGAGACCTTTACATAGTTACACGTTCTCAAAACAAGCAGTGATTGAGGTTTATTGCAGAACAATTTGCCCTCAAAGATCACAGCAGAAGCAATGAAGTCCTTCTCTCAGCAGCTCAACTTAGCCATCTCCCTTTGCCATCAGTGACTGCAGCCTTCCAATCTCTAATACAAACACAGAGATGAGGCTGCAAGAGAAGGGGCAGGGTAAGCTGAATGTCAGAGTTCCAAATTGAACTGCAGTGCTTATGATGTGAAATATTAGAATGAACTGCTCCACAGTTTCTGGAGGTACAGAGGGGATTGTGGGCTTGGTTTGTAACTCATTTATTGTTTGTTGAGAAGATATAAATTCTGCCACTGGCTATTTACACTGAAATCAATATCTTGAAAATTGTCAAAAAAGGTAGCTAAAAGGAATGTATAGTGTGGGAATGTTTCCCCATTTTAATCATATTGCATATGAATGTTTTATACTTATGATTTCTGGACTGCAGATAGTTTAATAGGCTAACTAGCTCATTTGTGGAAAAAAAAAAAAGCCTATTGACGGAGCTCAAAATCTTCAAGACTCACAAGGGACTCATCCTACTACCTGTTTGCTCTGCAGAGCTCTGACAGATTTTCTATATACTGAAACAGTCTGAAAAGCAAAAGCTAATGTTCTGCTCTCTCAAAGCTCAGAATGCTATGTAAAATCAGTATCATAAGTACACCCTGGATTAAAGCTGAATTAAAGTATCAGTTTAATCAGCTAAATCACTCCAGGTGCAGTGTTGAAAACAGGTACACGAATCTGAGGTAAGTACCACAACATTTCTTGTGTAGAAGGGAACTGCAGCCAAACCATTGTGTGGCACTGCAAAACTGGAGGCAGAGCTGGAATATGTAATTAAGCCAACACTGTTACTAGGTGTATTTCTTTCTTTATATACATAAAAACAATCAGGGGAGTTCATGAAGTGTTTATGACACTCTTGAATTCTGTTGTACCTCTGGAAGACAAATGTTAACGCTTTCCCCAATTCATGTACCTGCTAGCAACCGAATCTTTTGCACATTTCGGTAAAATGATCAAAACTGTAGCAGACCAGAAAAGGGGTGAAATACTTTGACTTCCCAATGAGTTTTAAACATTATACACACAAGATTATTTATATCGGAGTCTTCATCTCTTTTATATGTACCTTTATTTAAAATGGAAAACAAACAACATTCCCTTTAAAATCACCCAGGTAGTTTACCTTTTAAAGAACACAGCCCCCTTGCTCTCATAAACCAATCAGGCTTGATCAATTACAGTTAGTACCTAACTCTCTCAGCCTGTTTTTATTCATATAAGCTTAACATCCTATAGGTTCCTAGTTTTGACTGCCTTCTGATTTTTACACTAAATCCCAACTTCAAACAAAACTTCTTTTCAGCTTAGAGGTCAGAACCTGTCAACTTTGTATTGCTGTGCTTTTTAATGAGATTTTTTCCTAATTTGCTGTCTGACAAAAAAAGAAGTTAGGGGAAATATCCCCCTGTGTAACTGACCAGTGTCAGACAGAGCAGAATGTTCCATGTGTTCCAAAAGGAACTCAGAATGCATTACAAATTTTTTTTTATTTTTTTATATTAATAAAGAAAATCTTAGAGCTTCCGCCAGGTTTTTAATTCATCTGTGTCTCCATTAAAAGGAATTCCCCTCACTTTCTGTCCAGGCAACAAATGTCAGAAAAGGAATGGAAGATAAATATGCTCTATAGGGGCACAAAGGACATTTAAAACCAAAAAGGTTCTAACCTTTCTTAATTTTTTTTCAAAATAAAAAGAACAAGTTTTAGCTAGAGTTTAACTTTACTTTGCCTACCCTTGCATACTGGGAACTTACTGTTGGGTAATTAGAAAATCTTACAGCACATCAACACAAACTTTTAATGTTTTAAGCAGCAGACTCTCTGTACACTCAGAAGCATATTTCATGTGCTTCAAAATACATTATGGTTCGATACTTCAAAAAAGTACTGAACATAAAGACAGCCAGAAAAAAAAAAATGAGAAGGTGGCTAGCAATGAGAGCCTAGATAAAATGTATTTTTTCTTCAAAGTAAACCTGTACAGAAGTACAGAATCTACCGGGATGACTAAAATGGAGGACATGCCAACATTACAAATGGTTGTAAGAGTGAAGATATGTAAAAATCTAGAGGAAAGTATAGCAGTTGCATTTTGTTTCTGCAAGAAAGGCAGTGTTCAGTAATGCTGCCAGCACAGAAACTGTACATAATTAAGGCTTCCTATGGACAACAGAAAATGGAGAAAAGCTATGGATAATCATTCTAAAGGGTTGTAAAACTGATCCTTGTTTACAACTAAACAAGTCAATAACCCAGACTGTGTGTATGTTAACCATGTGGACAACTAGTATAACAGTTCCAGGTCAATGACTTGCCAGATTGAGAAACAAAAGATGACAACCCCCACAAAACCTTAAAAAAAAAACAAAAAAAAAAAAACAAGTCAGCACCCACTTATTTAAATTCTGACAAATTCCTTATAAAATGAGCCAGTGTTTACTTTAACGTGGCTGCAGTCAGGCTGACCTACAAAGCTTGCAGTTGCCACCTTACACCCTAATTATTGGTTGGCACAACGTGTTTTAGAAACGGCAAAGCTGTATTTCACTAGCCTTGCTGAAAAAAAAAAAAAAAAAAACAAATGCAGGGGACCACATTAAACAAAAAAGGAATAAAATCTGGTTCATTAACCCCAATTCATTCAACATACTTCACGAACAGAAAGGCCTGTAAAATGAATGTTAACAAATTACAGTCTCTATTAGGTACATTTCAAATACAATAGTAATAATCCATCAAAAATGTGGGTACCAGAAACCTGTGAACTCTCAACATACAGCAGACCCATATATCTGTGAAAAGGTATAATCATCCAGCAGAGAAATCAGTCTTCTTACCAAACACAAGCAAATAATGTAAGAAAATGAAAGCCCTTGCCTGTAAAGATGCAAAATCCAGGGCTAACACAAAAGTCCCTGCAAATATTGGCAAGAAAACAGGCTTTGGGGGCATAAGTACCATGGAGTGCCAGGAATTGGTGTGGTAGCTACTGGACGGGCTTTTTGGGCAGCTTTTTCTTCCTCCGTCATTTCTTCTTCTTTTGGCTCCTAGAAAAGAAAAAGGCATTAAAATCTGGGAAAGAGGAAAGGTTACCATGCAAATCCTTTTTCCATCAAATAGACTGTATCCTAAAGCAGAAACCACATTAAACAATTTTGGAAACATTAACAGTGCACCCAATCGGACTAACCTCTGTGGGCTACTAACCTCAAGAATTGCACCATCACACCCTTGCTCTCCCCTCTAATGGCGTTGACTTTTTGCAGTCAGAACTTCCCATTTACTCAGTACTAGCACAGCGTGTGTAATAAAATTGCATACCAGAATCCTGATCCTAGAAGAGACTTCAAGCATACCCCCTAGAGGTGGGGCATGGAGATAGGAAACCATCAACTCAGATCTCCTAGTGATGTGAACATTAAAATGATGGAATTCCTGACTTGAAACAACATCAACGGGGGCCAGATCTGGGCTGCCATGCTGACCTGGGTCAAGAAGATTGATGGCATTAGAGCAGTGCCACCTAGTGGAGACAGCAACATGTTTCCTGGAGGATTCAGGGGAACACCTCACTTCCTGGTGATTAAAAATGACAGCCCCTTACAATTTAGGAGATGTAGCTCATTAGAAAGAGGACTATATAGGTTGGGCGGAGGGTATCAAACAGGTGTTGCTTGTGGGTGGTATAAGATGCAAGGGCCAGCCATGGCCTCTTCCTCCTTGAGCTCAGCCACGAAAGAGAACAGAGGACGGACTTGCGTATCATCTCTCCTCTTTTATTTCTATCTGCTACAGAATATTCTTTTAGATTTCTATGTTGGTGTTCTACATTTTGGGTAAATAAATAAGACCTTTGCTTCTTTGAGTGTTATGTTTATTTGTATAACTAGTATTGTTATACTATCAACATTAATATTATGAAAGTTTTATAGACTAGCCAATTATAACAACATATAAGATATATTAATAAGTATATATTTATAATTTAAGTAGGGGGAAGTCAAAACCACCCCGTATGTATTTCAGGTTAGAACCCCTTTTTTTTATGCTATGTCCCTGGTAAGGGGAGTCTCTCTCTCTCATCGCCAATCTTATTGGGAATGAAAGAATAAATCAATTTATTTTTTGTTTTGAGTTGCCACCAAAACAGGAATAGAGGGGAAACATTCCTCTTGTTCTCATGGCAACAGAGTGGGGATTTCCCCCACAATACAAGAGAGATCCTCTCCCACAGACATGAATGGGTGAGTGTGGCTTTACACAGCTAGGTGCCACTATTAGTGTAATGTAGCTTATGTACACAAATGTAATGTCACAAATGCAGGTAGTGTGCATTCAGGAAATTATGTCTGTGGGTGTGCACAACTTTATGCTAGCTGCATACAGCTGCCGTCACCCAATTATGTCTCGTGGCGGCTGTATGCAGTTCCAGGACAACTCGGGCACCAGAAATATGCAGCATATTTACACTTCATGGGCAAATGCGGCCATGAGAATGAAACCTAAGACCTCAACAGCAGATAAAACATGCGTTCTTTAAAACAATTTATAGTAGATACCAAGAAAAGAAAAAAAAAAATCAAAAACTCTCTGGATCTCATGTGCACAGATGAATAGCTTTCTCCCCTAACACCGTACTGGCTTTGATTTATCTGAAAATGTGGATGCAGTAATTCATCTTCCTTAGTTCCCCATCATCCCCAGACTGTATTTAGACTATGAAAAACAGCAACACATTGATGAGTTCATCCTTGTAGTCATGTTAGGCAAGTTTAGTGCCAGGCCAGTAGGCACTGTGCAATGCACAAAAGTCCTGGTTGGCTCAGAGAACTGAACACTCAGATTCTAGTGCATATTCATGGTGTATGATTATTTCACATATGTGTAACTGAATGTAATTTTTTATTTGAGATTCCAAATTGGAATGAGTTCTGCAACACCATAAAAGAAAAAAATGCATGTGTCAGCATTCATTTACCAATTTACAGCAGGTATAATTACATTTCAGCAACAAATGCTTTAGGTATCCAGAATAAAACATGGAAATTTCATGAAACCATTTTGAAAAATGTAGCCTCTACTACAGTAGTTGGTGTGAATTCATGCACAGTTGCTTCTGCAGGGTGCAGCTGCTATTGTTAAAATTTTAATTTCAGATGGTCTGAAGAGTTCGGAGGTGTTTCATATCAAGGGATGCTCTTCACTTAAAGTATAGCCAAAGCTTTTTTGGTTATACACCTCCTATGGATAAAAGGAAGAGCAGTTAGTTCTGCACTCCTGTGACCCGTTTTCAGCTGACAATGGGCTAAAGCCTACAGATGGCCGACATCACAGAACCGGTCCAGGCTTTGAAAAGACTGGCACCTGCCTCAGCCTCTCAGCAATCAGTCAAGAGCCCAAGCCAGCCCCTTCCACCCTCTCCACAGCCCACCGCACCAGTGAGAGCTGGAGGGGCAGTGCAGAGAGCCAGAGACTGACAATCACCACTCTCTGTTCAGAGTGGAGGGGGAGAACTAAGCAGTCAGCAGTCTTTGATTACTCAGTTCTTACCGCAAATCCGGCAGGGACAGATGCAGCATTGCACCAGAGAACTGCTCTCCCTAATCCTGACTTCAATCATGATGGTACCCCTGACTCATCCCTGCAATGTAAAAGTAGTGCTCACTACTGCCAAAATTCTGTGCTAGTTTTTGTTTTTTTTTCCACCCCCAAGGCAAGTAGTGGAAATGTTTTTCCTCCTAATAATCAAGTTGGTTTACCTCTGATATCAGACTAAACTAATGCACACAAATTAAATATAACTAATGCACATAATTTAACTGGGCTTGAAAAGCAACAACAAGCAATGATTTACAATAATGCAAAGAAACTAATCCCAAGTGCTATTGCTCCTACTACACAGATTTCTGATTGGCTACTTACAGTTACCCCACATACTGTATTTGATTATACTGTTAAGTTTTTATGAAAATACAATTCTAGATTCATAAGCAGTTTTTGATCAATACATACTGGATACAAATAACAGTTCTAAGTGATCAACCACTTGGTAACTTGGGCATTTTGGAGATAATCGTAGTAAGAAGGTGACAAAACCACACAACATGCCCCATCCCCACAACAAAGTAATCAAAAAGGATAATACCAAGAGTTTGGTTGCAGGCTTTTACCTCCTTAATTTCCTTGGGAGGTTCTTCCTTTGGTACCTCTTCTTCGGCCTCCATGGGCTGCGGTTCCTCCACAACTGGTTCGGTCTTAACTGGTTCTTTTACTTTCTCAACTTCTTTATCTAAAGGAAATTGTTAGAATCGTGACCTTAACTTCCAAGCAAGAAATTACCAATCTTTTGTAGATATTGCCATGAGTACTTTTAGGTAACCTGTATTTTGGCAGCAAGTCTGTGCACTATAAACACTGCCTAGATAATAATGAAAGCGTATCATGCCTGCAGATGTTCACAGATTGTATGTCATTAAAAATGTTTGCATTCGATTTTAGCATCAAAGATGTGCATTAGAGGCAAACAAAAGTGGCAGGTTCTTCTAACTCATAGTCAATGATGGACACCCTAATTAAATGCTTTTAATTAACAGTGAATAAAGTAATATAAAAAAATAAAAGCCAAAGCTTTGATGAAGATCATAATTAGCCAATAATGGGACGTGTCCATACCTTTTTCTTTAAGTTCCTGAGGCTTGTCCCATGTGGACTCCAAAGTGCGATTATTATAATAGTACGTTTTGCCATCAGCAGTTTTATATTCGGACCATTCAGACATCATTGTCGCTCCTGTTAGTGTGGCCGGAGAAGCAGCAAGGGCCACTTGAGGGTGTATCATTGGGACAATTGGAGGAGCAATTCCAGGCAAGACACCTAGAGACATTTCCACTGGATTAATATGAGAAATTTATTAGAAATATTAAAAACACAGCAATCTTACTAAGGCCTGTTCTCATGCCTGTATTTTTCATCTCAATCTGAACATACAGAAAGCACATCTAATTTTCTATACTCTATTGAAAAGAACTGCCTTCATACATGCAAGAGGCATTTAAAAGAAACATAAATGCAAAGAAATAAGGAATGTGATACTGCAGACTTGCTTTTTTCTAGGTGCAATCTCCCAGCCCCTTATCTTATATCCTGACTTCACTACCTAATGAAAAAAAAACATGCAAGACAGTTAAAACTTTTGCATTCTTAACTTGGCTGGCTACATACTTGTCTAGGTCAGTGATTTGCCATGAAGTAAAACTGGAAACCGCATGAAAACAGAGGATGTAAACCCTGGACCTGCACCTTTAAAAACAAGGTAAAAATTGCAGTTCTTATATTTTTATCTTCATAGGTTTCTTGCAGTTTCCACATATTAGCGAAAGAACCTTTTCATTACATTGGTTTTTTACTGTGTCTGAGGTTTTCAAACAGCAAATCTGATAGTGATAAGGATGATGAAAAATTAGGCCTGAAAAATCCTTGTCTCTATTTTAATGTTTCTAGAATAATAAACTTAGAGTCTCCTTAAACCTCTATGGTACAATACGGCACACATTTACACATGCTATGCAGCGCATCAAAGTGTTTTATTGAGGCAGCCCATTCATTTGATTAACCTAAAAGGTAAAAATTAAAAAATAGAAGGTGCTATTCCACAGCATCTAGACCACATACTAGTTCTTGGTTTAGTAAAGCTAGAGAGCTCCAGAGCCAAAGAATTAATATGAGGCTCAGAAGTAAAAAAAATGCAGCATCTCACAGGTTTTTTTGCTTTGTATGAAATTCCCTTCAAGAAAGTATATCATCTTATCTTACCCAATGAATCTGAAACTTCAACAAATGTAATTATTCAACTTAAACTAGATCCTTTAAAATTGTTCATTTACATTTGAACAATCTAAAGAGAAGGGTAGAATTGTTACCAATAAACTGGTTTACCTTTTATTTAAAAAAAATTACAACTTGGGCATTATACCCAACTTCATTCATATCCGATAATTACGGTTTAGGACATAACAGCGCGCTGACCCACCCAACAATTTTCAGTATCTCCAGAGAACTCCAAAGGGGAGAATTTTTCAGGCTGTCCCTCTACCCCTTCACATAAAGTCATAACAATGGGGCCATTTTCTTGTAGCTCAATTCCCCAGTTTGTTTATGCTACATATGTGTTTTTTTATAGTGCAGGAAGTTTACTACTCGGGGTCTCACCTGATATTTGTGCAGAAAACACTATTCACTCTAGTAATGGCTGCAAGGGACACTAGGGAGGAGTTTGTTAATATGAATCAACATCACCAGAACTGAGCAGCAATGTCCATTATGAAACTGGGCATTGGCATTCTAGGTTATACCCACAGGATAAGAGTATTATTAGGACTGGTAAGCATCAAGGGAGCCTAAAACTGGCCATATACGGATCGAAATTCAGACTGTTCAGCAGGGACTAGCCCAATTTAGATCAATGTGTGGCCACTGCAGTTGAACAGAAATCAATCAACCAATCGACTTCTGCTTAGGTGCCCTGTTGGAAAACAGCAGTTTGATCAGTCAATGAAGCCAATGGCTGCGTGCTGATCTGTGTATTCTGACATTGAGGGAGCCTCTCCACTGTCAAAATAAATTAGCACAGCAAGGAGGATTTATGCATGCACCCCTCGCTAAAAGAAAAAATTGAATGGAGTTTGACCAGCTTAACCCCAAGACAGGGCTTAAAAAATAGCCATGGAGCTGAACAGAAAAGGAGATTGTGGTGGAAAGATCTAATAACCGGATTTCCCTAGAGATATAAAAAGCAAGCATGGTATTAATTTTGCCAATACCACATAAAACTGAAATATAAGCATGGGGAGAGATGACCTTTCATAAAATTTTTCATAAAGACAAGGCTGCGATCTTGGTCACACAGGCATTTTTTAGTGTTGCACACAGACGTTTGATCACTGAAGTGAAGCTGTGGTTGCACCACACATGTGAGGTATCACCGTGAATGCCAAAGTGAGAACAATAATTCTAGCACCAGAACTCCTATGTAATATCAAACAGGTAACTTGTAAAGGCTCTTAAAAGTGCCGCCTATGGAGATTTTTAAGGACTGTAGTTTGTCGCCATTGTACGGCTGTATGGAATGTAAAGTGTGACATGTTTGATATCCATTTACTCGGCATAACATTATTGTTTAGATTTTACCAAACAATTGAATATGATATACTGTGTGTGTTCACTAATTCATTAAAATGTATTTTTTCCAAAACATTTGTGTTTCAAAACCCTTTGCACAACTATCGTGTGACATAAATTGCAACACCCATTTTTTAATTCTCTAGGGACTTTGCTTAAAGTAGAACTAAAGGCAAAACTGTTTTAGAGTGGAGAGGTATTACAATGCTTGTCAGTTTTTATTGCTGACTGTGCCCCCATTAAGGAAAGGCCCCCTCATTTCTCCTGTTTACCATTATCATTGAAAGTAATAGGAAAGCCCAAATTTTGGGTTGTCCCCAGAAAAGTAATAGAGGGGGATGTTCAAATGGGGACACTAGTTCTGGTGACTTGAGAGCTCCCAAGAGACTACCTTAAAGGGATTTCATCTCACTTCCTGTTTAGCTATGAGACAGGAAGTGAAGGGGAATCTCCGCAATAGTACACAGATGACGGAAAAAATCTGACAGTGGTTATAACCCTCCCTAACTCTATTCAAAACGGAAAAACAAATTTTTTGACATTGGTTATTTTAAATGTAGGAGAAAAATGTCAGAATTGGTCCGGTAGGCAAGTGGTTAAACATAAGCACAAAAGTGCACTTTTGGAAAGTATTAACTACATTTGTTGAGTCAAATTCATTATTTTGATATTAAATCGGATGTGTTTACATTCTTTAGGAGCATTCCTACTATGCACCAATTTTAAAGTCTCCAAGTTGCAGAGGATGGTATTACTACAGCTGGTCTACTGGAGCATCAATAAAGGCTGTTTGGAGATAACTACGGTGACTTTGTAAATGCAATAGAACACAGAAAACAAAACACTACATTTATTTAGAGTGTAAAAGAAATAGAGAGGCTGCAGGAATACCAGTGTACTGCTTCCCTGGTGACTTATGTTGCATAGCGAGGAAGATCTCTACAACAGTGTTACATTCTTTATATACAATACAGGCAAACAACAGATATTAGTATACAACAGTTCAATGTACTATAAAAAGGGAAAAAACTACAACGTAGTTAATTATCAGGACATCTAGAAGCTACATTAAATAATGTCTAGACACTGCAGTACTGACGGCTGTCAAGACATTATTTACACCAACAAAGCACACACATGCATGCAGGCATGAGACACATCACTGAAAGGAAATAAAAAAAACAAATTTAAAGCAGTATTGGGATAACAGGAAAATGTGTTAAAGACCACTTCAGTTTTGTAAACCTAACATACCTACGCACAGCTAATTACCCGATAGGTCATTTAGGTAACTTTAGTGCTATACTGCTGCAGGGAGGGAATAGGCTGCAAACATAACATTTGATAATACGGGGGATAAAAGAAAAAAAAATAATACAACAGCATTCACTACCATGCCAACTGTCAAACAAACAAACTGAAACAGTATTAAAGAGTTACCGGTTTTGGTGGTAGCGACTGTCTTTACATACGGGCAGCTGACTATTTGCATCATTGCTACACCTGTAAAATGGATATGCAAACATGTTTGAACGCAGCAGCAGCTAGCACTGTGTCTGCTACCACTGGGGCTGGACACTAAAACACACTGCAGATTACATCAAGAAAGCATCTAAACATTGCCTGCTACTGGAGGGTAGTTTGATATGTGAAATAACCAGGAAACAAGAACACCTACTGAACATTGGAACATTGCTTGTATTTTTTTTTTTTACCTGACCTTCTGCAAACCTCTAATTTATGTTAACTGGTTTTGGTTTGTTTAAAGATGTAAATCATAGCTTATACTTTTTAAACAAAAACTATAAAGTATCTGTTCATTAAATGAGAGCAGTCGGTAGACAAATGACACACAATAGAGACACATTGTTATTGCTAACAGCAGTCTTGAAACAATGTTGTAACATGAAATGTTCTAATGGTATAAAAGTCACTTGGGGCCACCAATACAGATTTATTGCTTTGTGAACATCAAGAGACTTTCTGCTGCAAAATTCCTAAAATCTGAAGAATGAGAGTTGCAACAAAACCAAAGGATTTAGAGCTACTCTTAAAACCTGAAAACTTGCAGGACTACCATTTATAGCCGTGAAGAGGTTTGTTGATACCATTCCATGAAAAAAGAACCACCCACAGTATTTTCTGAAATAACTGAAAAAAGTAATAGGTTTTCATCATCATTATTATTATTATAATGCAGGATTTATATAGCGCCAACAGTTTGCTCAGCGCTTTACAATATAACGGGGGACAATACAGCAACAATACAGTTCAATACAAGAGGGTTAGGAGGGCCCTATTTATTTCATATCTAATAATTCAACAGATTAAACAGACTACATAACGTAAAACAAATGAAAATGGCATGGACAAAAAACGATGGGCTCTTTAACTTAAAATTTTATTGCACAATCTTTTGGAGGCAAACACTGAACAAGCTATTTCTGTAGTACTCAATGAGATTTTTGCACCTGTCAACAGTTAGGCCCCTTTCACACAAAGTATCCGATCAGAACCACCTTTTGACTTTTTCAGGGTGTAAATGGACTTGTGTCCGTTTGCACTCACCTACCTCCAAATCTGATCCTGTCAACTTAAAAAAAAAAAAAAAAAAAAAAAAAAAAAAACTTAAAGCAGAGTTCCACCCAAAAGGGGAAGTTCCGCTTTAATGTTTTGTCCCCCGCTGCCCATTAAGGACTGGCACCTTTGGGGAGCGGGTACATGAATTTGACAGGTACCTGCTCCCACTTCTGCTGCGATCACCTAGGTGATCAGAAGCAGAAGTGATCTTCTCCCCCTCCCTCCCCACAGTCTTCTGGGACACATGACAGGTCCCAGAAGACTACGGGGGCCATTCACAAAGCACAGCGCTTCTTGCGCATGTGCAGTGGGCACCTGGCTGTGAAGCTGCAAGCTGTCACAGCCGGGTGCCCACACTAAAGATGCCAGCACCAGGGAAAGAAGACAGCCAGTGAAACCAGCGGTGGTGAGGACACCGCTGGACCAAGGGAGAGGTAATTGGCTGTATTTTAAAAGTCAGCAGCTACAATTTTTGTAGCTACTAAACTTTTTTTTTTTTTTTTCAGCTGGAAATAGCTTTAAGGAGATCAGTCCCTCTCAGTCTAGAGTGATGGATCAGTGGGCAGTCAGGTGTAAACTGACAGACGAGTCCATTCACATCCGCCAGTCCAAAGTACAGAGTGGACAATTTGTCCACTCTGCTCTGCATAAACAGACCTGTCATCCCCCCACTCTGCTCTGATCAGCAGGGGATCAGGGAACAGATCATAACGGAGTCCACCCAGTGTGAACAGGGCCTTTGTTTGGTGCACTCTTTTCAAGTAATCTGCTTCAGGGGTCTCAGGTTTGAAGGGTACCTTCCCCAGACTGCATGTATCAGCTTTTTCCATAGATGTTCAAGAGGAACCAGATTATTCTGTTGGAAAACCCCATGACCTGAGACTGAGACAGAGCTTTCTGACAATGGGAAGTATGTTTCGCTACCTTTTCATAGTCTTGAGAGTTCATTGTGCCCTGCACAGACTTAAGTCACCATGTGCCAGACATAGCAAAGCAGCCCCTAAACATAACCATGCCTCCTCTGTGTTTAACAGTAGATATGGTGTTCTTTTCTATGAAAGCTTCAGTTTTTCAGCTGTGTACATAGATCCGATTTCACTTGCCAAAATTCTCCAGCTTTATCTCATCTGCCCAAATGATATTCTCCCACAAGTACTATGGCTGGTCACTATGCATTTAAGCAAATCCCAGTCTGGCATTTTTATGTGTTTCTTTCAAAAGGAGTCCTCCTGGGTCCTGTCCCTTTTCCACTGTTAGTTTACTGTACATAGCACACACAGCTGCTGCATTGTTTAGGAAATAGTTTGTTCGGCCCAACTTGGTCCAAACTATTAATTCGCTAAAACATGGATTTTAACACTGATGTTTCTTGGATCTCTTTGGAAGCATTCCGTGGCTTGTCTACTATTCATGCTACACTTCTGTTCAATTTTCCTCCTGGGGCCATGTCCAAGAAGGTTGGCTAAACTTCCATTGGCCTTAAAACTTCTTAATATTTGCAACTACAGTCACAGGAACCTCAAGCCATTTGGAGATGGTCTTAGAGTTTACCTTTACCATGCTGGCCTATAATTTTCTTTTTAATTTCCTCAGGCAACTTTCTCCTCTAATTCTCTGCTCCTTGGTCAGTGTGTTGCAAGTGATGATAAAAGACTGCAGGGGATTATTTTTCTCACTTAATTAGGCTGACTGACAGATTACAGGATTGAAGATGTGTGATGACAATTACAGAAAACCATTTGAAATATCACTATGATCCAGTCCTGCCCCCCCCCCCCCCCCCCCCCGAAAGGTACCAACAAATCTATCCAAGCCATTTTAGAATAATCAGTTTATCTCATTTCACACTCTAACATACTAAAAGGCATCCAGGTGCACAGGAGGCAGTTGCTTGTAATTTCAACACTTTGCTGGAGGAATGAAGCAAATGTTTTATTGAGCTGTAAGGGAACCAAACAAATTTGTTCATGACTATAATTAGCAATGTTCAAGTGGGATTAGACAACCTCAGGGTAAAGCAGATAACTGAAAAACACATCCTTTTGTTTATTAGTGTAAACTTGCAGCACTAATAAAAATTAGATGCATTCATGCTTTTAAAAGAAAAAAAAAATTGCTGGCTGGCAAGTATGCTTTTTTTTCTGCATTAGAAAAACAGTCATGGTTTTTTTTAATGGGATTTTAGTTCCTCAAGAAAGAATGCTTGTTGAGTTAAAGTCCACTATAGGAGAACAAACGAGCTGATGTCTCAAACCAAAATGTATGAGCCTAAAATTTAAATCATTTTGGAGGACTAAGACCCGGTTCACACTGGTGTGATCTGGCATGCGATTTTACAGTTCCAAATTGCATGACAATTCTCACCCTTTGGCAATGGATCCATTCAAATAGGTTCACGTCCGACTGAGTCGGACAGATTTTGAAAATAGTTCCTGCATTACTTCCTGCGATTTCAGGCGCAACTTGCATAGACATCTGTGCAGAAAGTTGCACCAGAAATCGCACTAACCTGCAGCTTTGAAAGTGCGCTACTTTAAGTGAAGTAGCACGATTTCAAAGTTGCATTCAATGTGAACCAGGGCCAAATCTTCATCAACAGAGAAAAAAAAAAAGTATGCAAGAAGTTTGTTAGTAAAATATAAAAAAATAACGTAACAGAGGAAATAAATCAATGTACCTATGGTTTTGTTCTGCAGATAGGCCTAACAGCGCCATCACAAAATTGTCAGACCAACGTTTAAAGTCAGCATTCTGGAAAATCTGTTTGGACTGGATGCCCCTTCTGTTTTATTTTCCAAAGCTCAAATGTAATGTAACTTCACTTTCTCAATTAACACTATTTTTAATCCTTGTGCTGACAGCATTAGTAAATAGATAGTGCTGTGCACTGACTTTCTGCAAAACCCAGGATAATTTCTCTATATCTTTTTGTCTGTAAGTGGTGATTGATTCTCACCTCCTTTTTGCCTCTCTGTGATCAGAGAATCAATCACCTTTTATGAATTTGGCCTGTCCGTGGCTGGTCTGGCTTTGGCCAATCCCCCCCAAATTCATGTGTTCCTTATCAGTTCCTAATTGGGGTGGAGAAGGATTGCTCATTTGATCATCTCCCTATAAATTTAGACCAGCATATGGGGGAAGTCACAGATGGGAGTACAGTCACAGATGGCATTGTCCTGCGTGAGTGCATTTTCTGCTGGAGTGTGAAACAGTAGTTGAACAAAGCAGTTTAACTAAAGCAGCAAGAAGATACAACAAAGAACTGCACAGTGGATGGACTGCAAGCAAAACACCCTGGGAAACATCTCAAACAAGTCTGATTCCCACTCCATCTACCTTTTAATATGACCCCTCTACTCCTCCTTTTCTTATTACTATCCTCGGTTCTCAAAATCACATTTCTTTACCCCTCTGCTCCACCAGAAAGCGTATATATAATCACCCTCACTTCTACCATCTCCCTACTACTGCTGATACTTTACTCACCTGCTGACCCAAAAAACACCAGGACAGGAAGGCATGTGCACTCATATACATCCTGCTCCCATCTTATTTTCCTCACCCTCCTCCTCCTAACCTCTGGGAATATCTCCCTGAACCCTGGTCCTCCACTATCTCACCCCCACACCAGGCACCTTTCTTCCTTTCTCCAGGAATAGCCGCAATCCACTCAATTTGATCTCAATCTCCATGCCCTTTAAAAACCACCCTCCCTTTTTCATGTGCACTCTGGAATGCCCGCTCTGTCTGTAATAAGCTCACCTCTGTCCATGACTTTTTTGTCTCCCACTCACTTAACCTACTAGCAATTACAGAAACCTGGCTTCAAGCATCAGATTCTGCTTCTCCCACAGCACTTTCCTATGTAGGCCTTCTCTGGACTCACTCACCCAGACCCAGTGGTCGGAAAGGTGGTGGAGTTG